AGGACACATCAGTCCACATCATGTGTATACATCAAAGAATTCAAACTTAAATCTTAAAAATATGTGTATAATGAAAGGTAGGTTATAATTGATAAGATGCAAGATTCCTGCACTGTCACCCCGGAATAGCCTGACAACTGTAAAGTCAGATACTGTTGTCACAAATGGCGGACATAACCGTCACTTCAATTAGATTTTCATGAACTGTATGTTTAATAGAGCACCTAGACTAAATTCCTTTGGAACAACAATCAATCAAAGTGTCTTAATACTCATTGAACAGTTAATAATGTTCTACAACATGAGATACGGGACAACGGACACTGTAATTACGATATGCCTTTGTCTTTCTAAATTACTCAAATTCAGATTCCGTTGTCAACGACGATATCGAAGACGCTATATTGTTGTGATTCACGACCCAATTTGATCGAAATTGGGATTTCATATGAAACATCATCACAAGAGCTTAACCTTTAGCGTGCTCTTGGCGGACTCGTCCGCCGAGACTAAAATGTCTCTCACAACTGTCGGCGGACCCGTACGCCCGATTTCAAACTTTTAAAAACTTTACTTTTTCGCGCCATTTGTATTGTCCAATTAGATTGCCCGATTTATTCAGTGCCTAACATGACTTCCTGTTGACCTAGAAATGGCGATATTTCGAAAAATAATTCTCAATTCAACAATTTGAACAGTGTTTTAGTCGTTTTTAGTAAACGAATCGTACAAAATGGTGGACAAATACGATCACAACGAAAATGTGGAGGAAATAGATTACGATTTCGAGCTCTTTAGGCTCTTGGAAGCCGATAACGGTCATCGAAAATAGAAACTAGAATATTTTCTGAATTGAAAAATTGAACATTCGATCGCTGCAAATTCAGATTTGGATTCTGACCAGACGAAGAGGCGGAGCGGCGGATTCCGGAGGAGTATTCATGGTATATTTATGCCCAGTCGTGTTAATGTACGAAAAAATTCATGAGAACATTTTTTTTCATGAGCCAGGCCACTGTATCTTCCCTTTGTGAAAATTTTATCCAGATTCATTCAGTAGTTATTGAGATATTAATTATTTAGTCCAGGCATATCATTTTTTGCACTCTTTGAAAAATAAGCCAGTTGCGTGGGATATATTTGCTGAAATAAGGCAGCATGGTAAAGGTTAATACATGCACAGAATTTTAGCGACGATAAAATCCCATGAACTGAGGACCAAGTGATTAAACAGTTGAAGTGACGGTTATGTCCGCCATTTGTGACAACGGTATCTGACTTTACCGTTGTCAGGCTATTCCGGTGTAACTGTAGAAGTAATGTTTTTAACCTTTATTATGGAGGAACATGAAATTATGTTCATCTGGGGACACATATGTATGCTAATTATCAACATGGGATATGAAATATATCCAGATTATTGTCATGAACCTATATCTATAAATAATATCTTATATTGGAAGGGGTAATATTTTTAAACTTAAAAAAAGAATAAATATTCAAGTTGGAAACAAGGAATTAAGTGAACACATGAAGTACATACTCTAAATTATTTAGAAATGCCAAACAATCAGACACTTCAGTTAAGAGAGAAATTAGACAGATATTTTAAAAGTCTTTAATTGGTTGAGTAACAAGTGGTAACCTGCTACACTGGCAGACACATTAATACACTCATGATATGATTATTTCCGAAAGTTCCTTGCTAAGTGGAAAGTGATAACAATTATTGGGATAGATGTTTTGCGATGGATTATAGCTTTTTTGCTTCTGGTTATGGGCTTATAGCTGATGGTTATTAAATTATACAACATTGCTGGAGCCTTTTAGCTGTATTATTTCCATGTATTGATTGGAAATTTCACAGCATTAGATGATTGAGGGAGAATTTTACTTGCTCCCATTTGTCTTGAATGATTCTTTTATAATGTTTCGATTTCTCAATTCTAAGCACTTTTGGATGTCTTTATAAAAAGATTCATTTTCAGAGATCACATTAATCTGATGAAAAATGATAATCTTGCAACTCGATTCAACACATTCATGAATTGCACATCTTTTCCATTATGGCTTAATTAATTAGATTAGTGATGGAAGTGAAAAAAGTTATTTTGTAATTTAGGTATAGCAGTCATGTGCAAAGTGTAGCATTCATTTTTATGTTATGTTTCTTTTTATCTCATTTTTAATTTGACCTACATAAAACAGCTAAAAAGGATATGAAGATATCATTATGAAATCCCAAGTCTTCTATCAGATTCAATTCATAGCAAAGTTTAATAAAATGCTACATTGGTCTTGTTAAGTAATAGTTGATTGGCAAGGAATACAGTCATAGTTGAGATTTATTCTCTAAATTATATTTATTTATTTATTTTATTTTATTCATTTATTTATTTAGATATACACTTTTTAACAGTGGCACTCTTACATTAAGGTGCATCTAATCGAAAAATATCCACAATGCCATGTTGGTTAAAAACAGCACATTTTGTCAAACTAAAATGAGTCTTAAAAAGAATTAAAACATAGGTATGTTAATATTTACTTAAAATCTTATTTAGAAAGCTTTTTACTAAAGAGTCGAATAAAACACCATTTTCGTGTCCCACAGAAAATCACAGAATGGGGTATTAACTTGTACATTTGCCCATTTATATGTTTCACCTTTAAGCCCTAGTTTCCCGGCCTGAGCAAGAAATTTTAATGCACTTGCAAAATCAAAGCCATTTCTTAAATAGTACTGTTAACCTTAATGTTTAAGATCAATAAGCTGTCTATACAGTGTCAAGGAAGATTTTCCATTCATTTCAGTTTGTATAAATAAAATGCAGTAAAATCACGTTCTTCATCAAAAGATTAGTAGAATAATCACATGATAAGAGGCAGAGATACACAAATAAGGTACCGTATTCTCTCTAATAAACGCACAGTGCACATCCCAAATTCTCCTGGAGGAGATGTCTCAAATGAATATATTAAATTAATACATGGGCGATAATCAGGTATTTCATGATTTACCTCTTTAAAACTGGATTAATTTCAACTGGACAACATACTTGTAGTATCATACCTCGATGTTTTCCTCATGCATTATTGATCTGCTGAATGTGTATTCGTGGGTTAATCGACATATATGTGTCACATTTCGATAATAAAACATTCCCTCTCCTATCGTTTCGGGCTGCCATTTTGGGATCTGATGCCGATAGCCGAGTCTAAAGGTCTTTTGTTACTGACCCGCCTTCCTAGTCAGAGAAAATATGTTTTATATTCATATAATACTACAACACGTTTAAAAATGAATGAATGTTTGAGTGTTTGGAGGGGAAAATCTGGAATCGGAAACTCCCATGATGCACTGCGAGTGTCAAATGGCTTGCGTCAGATTTAGCGTTCATTATGGCTTTACCTCATCACTAGAAGGTTATCATGATCGTACTTATAGCTCTAAAGGTTTCGGAGACACGTCTGTAACAGCATTGTGCACATAAATTACTTAATCGAGAGCGATAAGTGAATTAATTATCGATAAGTGAATTGATTATTTATTAATTTTCGATTTTTTTCATGAATTTTGTTACTCAAGTTGCAGAGTCTTTCATGAAAAAGTTGGGTATGCGTTTATTGAAGTATGTGCGCCTATTAGAGATAATAATGTGGGTGGTGAAGGTTAATCTCTGCTGGAGAATACCCTCAAATTAAACATCAGTCATATATGTATTGTAATTATTTTTCTATGAAAGGGGAATTCAAATGAGAAATATACTGTACAAGGGGCGATCCATATATTCTGATAAAAATGCTCTCACTTTGTGATTTTTTCACATATCCCTCTCATTTCTTCAGAACATATTGATTATGTAATTACACATACAATGCTAAAATATTATAGCTATATCTAAAATAATTTTAAGATAAGGATGTAAATGTAAATTAAATGTTTCATAAGAAACAATGATATCATTGCAGGGAACAATCATTGTAGGCTTCATCATGACTGGGGACTGCTCATAAAAAATCTGATGGCACTCATGTTTTTAAAAGTAAAATAAAATGTAGATTAGCTGAATAAACAATTAATAAAGCTAACAAGCATGACATTCAAATTCTAAGTTGTTTTAAAATGAAGCATTCACACATGGCTAGGCAAGGTGTGTCCGATTCCAGCCAATCGGAACACAGTCTTTTTACATGACAGCAGTGCATGAAATAATCAATAACGCATTTGTTGTGTATGGTTGCTAAGGTGATGAGATTGCGATTGATGCTTTGCCAATACTTGACCCTTGCAAAAAGTTTCATGGAAAATATGTTCTTTTAGTGATTTTCTATGTTTAAGGTGATTTTGTAGAAAATATTTTGCAATGTGTGAAAAGAATTTTAGCACAAGACTCAATGCATTGTAGCTGCTTCATTACACTCAGGCGTTGTTTCCTAAACTTTGCATTCTTGCTGCGTGATGATGCAAAGATTTGGAAACAACACCTTCATGTTATGATTCAGCAAACAATGCACAATGCTCCAGCTCTTAAATTCTTAAACAAAACCAAACACTTCATTCAGAGAGGAATTGATATTTATTGAAGGTTGAGTTCCTGGTGGATTTAATTACCCTCCTCTTAATATTGTCTCTATAATAATTGCCTGTAAATTGCAAAAAAAAATAAACCAATTTATATTTTTATGGTTGCATATTTTTGATATTTTCAACATATTTCTGCTCGTTTAAATGCATGAATCGTTACAGATTTGCATTATTATTAGATTTCCACAAAGTCTTCAGTTGCTTCCTATGGGCACAGAATTCTGATATGATTGATGAACCTGTTTGCAAAAGAATTATGATTAGCCCATAGAGCTCCATCACATGCAGAATTTTAAGAAGGAAATGGTATTTCCCTCAGTTTTATGGTTTTGAATCGGTGCCTTTTTCTATATACTGTTTTCCACACCATTTGCTTCAACTTATCTAACCAAACTTATTTTTATATTTTCAGCTGGTGATTCTTCCAGAAAACTTTCATACTTGAGTGGCATAAACCATAGGATTTGAACGATAAATTAAAAGGTGAGTGACAAATACTTAAGAAATAGAGACTGGGCATTTATGATTTTTGGCATAATATACAACCGAAAATTTTATTCTGTTAATTGTTAAAAGAGCGAAATCGCATAGCAATGGCCAGAATAAAATTTAAGGTAATATATTTGCCTTAAATCATGAAATTGAGGTCTTTGTTATGATTTGAATGTGATAAACAGGCAAGAAAAACAACTTTTTGCATTTTATAGATTTTAGCGGTTATACATACTTTAAAATAGACCAGTAGCTGAATTGTTCTAGCTATTCTGACGTTACTATCATATTACAAGAGCACTCTATTTGAAAGAAAGATTTGGACATTTCCAGTGCAACATTTTAAAGAGACACTATTAGATGGGAGAATTGTGGTACTCCTGTATCTATGGTATATGCTGTCAGATGTTAAAGGTGGTGATTTTTGAAGATGACCCCATCTTTTTTTTATTAGATCAAATTGTAAGCGTATTTGTAAAATATAGTAAAAGCAACTTCACCCAATCATTATGGGCTTTTTGTTAGATGCATCAAATCTTAAAATACATTGGATCTTTCCAAGATCATCAGAGATTACAAACTTCAATCAAACATTTTAAATTATTATTGAGCAAGTTATTTTGAAAAGAATCCTGATGTCAAAGTAGAAACGAGAAAAATAGCTCACTAAGAGGGCATCAGACAGAATGTCTACTTTATTTTATTGGGATATTTGCGTTAGGTCTCGTCTCTTGACATTTATTGAAATAAATACCAAATGTTGTTATCACATTGGTGCAGTAATATTCTGGGGATAACTGGATTTGATACATTATGGATCTAATATATGTATCCCTTGTTTGATTTTCAGAAAGTCATGTTTTTAAATGCAAAACATAGTGGAAATGAGGGAAATTAGCAAGAAACAAAACATACAGACATGAAGAACATATTCAGAATTACTTAGGAATACCCAAATATGAATGAATTCATACAAATAATATCAAAAAATAATTCGAAATAAGCATGAACAAATGACATTTTACGGATCTATATTTTTCGCTAGTGGGTTGGAGCGTTAAGTTGATGAATTCAGGGGAGCATAAATTGATCAATTTTACATTAGTTCCTTTCAGAAACTATATCAACTAAATTGATAGAATGCACTTATGTAATGAATATTTCTTTGTTTGCAGCTATATTTTAGACCTTAATGTTGATCTTGGTATTTCACTCTTTCTGCTCTGATTCAGAATGAAGATCAGTCTTGATAGAAGATAAATATATTACCATAATTCAGTACAGTATTGTGATTACAAAAGATCTTAGATCTGATTAACTAATGAAATGAAATATTGTTTATTGAACATTATCTAAAAAAAAGGATGGTTATAACTTTTCTTGGAATTTAATACTCTATTTGACAGGGGATGAAACTTTTTATTCAATTTTTCGTGCACTGGGACATCAAATTGCAAAACAAATCAAATCAAATTTCTATCAGATAATTTAATCAAATCGATATGTATACGATAGGTCTGAATATGAAACTATTACTATGTCTTTACTCATTATTTTTTGGCATATAAAAGTAACTATATTGTTTATATATTTTTTCCAGACTGAGTGACAACTTATACATGCAAGATATATGACCATGGGCTGTGGCTTTCTTAGGATAAATACCAGATTATGAAAACCTGACTTAGATGTGATATTCATCATGACACCAGCGATGTCTTTTTACAAATTGGCTGCCATTTTCTCACTTGGGGCATCATGGGTTTCATCTGTAGAGATCGTAAATACATTTCAAACATATGACCCATCAGTGACGTTTAATCACATGGCAATTGATGAGAACACTGGGAAGGTATACATAGGTGGCATTAATAGGCTATACCAGCTCCAGAATGATTTATCGCTGGAAGTTGACATTGTGACAGGTCCTGAGCTTGACAATCCACAGTGCCAACCCCATGTGACATCATGTGCCTCTTCAAAGTTTTTAACAAACAACCACAATAAAGTTTTAGTTATTGATGAAACTAACAATCAACTTATAACTTGTGGGAGTATATTCCAAGGAACCTGCCAGGTGCGCAGTCTTGGAAATATCACAGATTCAACAGCGTATCTCTCTAAAGATGAGTATTACATTGCGGCCAATAATGCGACTTTGTCAACTGTAGCTTATGTGGTTCCTGGACCAGATTCCAGAACGTATCTAAATGTTGCGTCAAGTTTTGTGAAATTAACCAAGGATGTAGTGTTCAGAGATGAAGTTCCTGCTGTTAGTACTAGAATACTAGATATATCAGGAAGATATATGTTTAACTACGCACACTTAGTGGAAGTCAGAAATCTTGGGTCTCGGATATTTATGGACAAAAGTGTACGAGATACGTTCATAGTACATTATGTAACAGGATTCGCTACTGATAAACATAACTATTTCTTATCTGTACAGAAAGAATCCACAGACATTAACGCAAAGTATGTTTCTAAATTGATACGACTCTGTCAAAATGATGATTATTATAGATCATATACTGAGATACCCATTGAGTGTGGCGATTACAATCAAGTCCAGGATGCCCATTTTGTTAAGCCAGGGTCAACCCTTGCCAGAAATATGAACATTTCTAGTGATGATAATATCTTAGTGGGTGTGTTTGCAAAAGGGAATGGCCCATTTAGTGTGACATCATCAGTGGCTGTTTGTTTTTACTCCCTAAGTGAAATTACAAGCAAGTACACCTTCAATATACAACGTTGCTACCAGGGATCTGGGGAACGTGGAAAAAAGATCCTACCAGCTGTAGATGGATGTTTGATTGTAAGTTTAATTATACCACCGAATGAAGTTCGTGGGGGATATAGGAAGCTGTCCATTCGTCTGTCCTTTTGTCTGTCTGTTCGTTTGTCTATGCTATAACTCAAATACTGATTTACGGATATGATTCAAATATTTTAGACCTCTGCTCGAGAAGCAATTTTCAACGGACACTCAATTCAAAATGGCTGTCATTTTTCATTAAAGAATGTAATATTTGATAACTCAAATACCAGTAGATGGATTTCGTTCAAATTTTATGTGCTGATTCCTGGTGAGATTTTCAAGATGGTCACTGAATTTCAAAAGTTCAAATTTTGTGTTCTGATGCCTAGGGACAAAGGAGTTTTGCTTGGGAAGAGATTTTCAAGATGGCCTAAAAATTCCAAATTGGCTGCCTGTGCCATTTTTCTTAAAAATGTAATCTTTGATTACCAGTTGACGGATTTTTTCCAATTTTTTATACTGATGCCTAGGGACACGGGATCTCGTTCAAGAAGAAATTTTCAAGATGGCCACTTCTGAAAATGATTTGTTCGTTGGGACTTGCTACTCCGTGGAGTTACTGTTTCCTAGTTGATAGTTAATGAAAGTGAATGAAAACACAGAACGAAATCCTATGCTAATACAAATATGTATATAATATGCAATATTCTACTTTAAAAGTTCTTAACTATATTGCAGGAAGCTAGCACATCTGTGACTGATGATTTCTGTGGAGATGGTACAAACTCACCAATAGGTGGAACCACTGCCATTCGATCTGAACCTACACACATAGATGCCAATCTTACTTCAGTAACTGTTACTACATCAGCTACGCACACCATTGCCCATCTTGGTACAAAAGATGGGCATCTAAAAAGAGTACGTTTTTTTAAAGATTTGGAATGAGTGTTAATATTTGAAATTTTTGATCCTAATTAGTCATATGAAATATCTAAATGGATCAAGAAGAAAGTGCATGTTTACTTTTGATGACTTTTCTTCTTTTTTTCTTGCTTCACATCTCAAGACCCCCCCCCCCTCAAGGACTTGAAGCAAGGGTATAACTTTAACATCTTTTGACTTGTACTTCTTCAACTTAATCCCCATCAGACACATTTATTTATTCATTGTTTCAGGTGTTACTGACAAATGCAGGTGAGGCTGTGGAATATGCTGACATCTCGGTTGACTCTGGTTACCCTGTCAGCCAAGACATGAAGACAGATCCTGATGTAGAAAACATTTATGTGATGACACAGCACAGGGTAGGTTTGTATAAAGTAACACAGGCACAGTTTTTAGAACATATTGCCAATTGAGTTGTACAAGGGCAGTCTCCCAGGATATTGTTCAACTGTATTGTTTGATCATGAGATGTATTGATTCTCTAGATGTATTCTTCTTTTCAACTTAGTTAGACAATCAACATTCTTGGTTTATTTTGTAAGTTGAACACATTTACAAAAAAATTGACAGAGAAAAACATTTGGAATTTTTCAAGATTTTTTGCACCCTAAATGACATCACAATTTTTTTTAATATGCTTAAACATTTAAGTAAATTTGGTTAGAAATACAAAGTTACTAACACTCTCAATGTACAATTTCAAATATTTTTGACAATATTAAATCATGTACCAGTTTCTTTTATATAAATACATGTATTTAATATTTAGGTGAGCAAAGTTGCCTTGGAAACATGTAGGGAGCATACAACATGTGATAGTTGCTTGGCAACTAAGGACCCTCATTGTGGATGGTGCTCTCTTGAAAACAAGTAAGTTAACAACCAACTGTATTGAAAGCATACTAATTTATTCATTTATTCTGATTCAAAATGTCACTATTGAATTTATATACTTTCTCATTCATGCGGTATCACAGTGTTTGTTCTGAACACAAGAGTCATACCAATTGGTGATCTCTAAGTTGGTGTCATATCTTGTAATTATTTCACATTTACAAGTGGTGACATATTGTTATGGTCTCCGTTTTTTTGAGGGCGGTTGTTGGTTGGTGGTCTGCGGTTGGCGATCGACGTCCTTAACAAATTCTTACAACTTCCAATAACTTAACAAATACTGTTTAGACTGACTTCAATTTTTTCAAAATCATCTACAAGTTTTCAGAAGTTTAAATCTGACTTAATATTTTTTAAGAGGTCAAAAAGGTCTTTTTTCAACTTTCTTCAAATTGACCTTTTTTTCAAAATCATCTACAAGCTATCAGAAGTTCAAATCTGACTTAAGATCTGAGATTTGACCTTCAATGACCTTCTGAAGGTCAAAAAAGGTCAAAAGGTCTTTTTTCAACTTGCTTCAAATTGACCACTTTTTTTCGAAATCATGTACAAGTTCTCAGAAGTTCACATCAGGCTTTACATTTGACCTTCAATGGCATTCACAAGGTCAAAAAAGATATGACCTTCAATGACCTTTCCAAGTTCAAAAAGGTATTTTTTCAACTTGCTTCAGATTAATTTTGACCAAAGTTTTTTTAAGATCATCTACAAGTCATCAGAAGTTCAAATCTGGCTTAAGATTTGAGATTTGACATTATCAGAAGTTCAAATCTGACTGAAGATCTGAGAATTGACCTTCTATGACCTTCTCAAGGTCAAAAAAGGCCAAAAGGTATTTTTTCAACTTGCTTCTTATTGACCAATTTTTTTCTTCAATGACCTTCTTAAGGTCAAAAAGGTCTTTTTTCAGCTTGCTTTAAATTGACAAATTTTTTTAAATGATCTACAAGTTATCAAAAGTTCAAATCTGACTTAAGCTTTGAGATTTGACCTTCAATGACCTTTTCAAAGTCAAAATATGTATTTTTTCAACTTGCTTCAAAAAAGGTCAAAAGGTCTTTTTTCAACTTGGTTCAAATTGACCAATTTCTTTCAAAATCATCTGCAAGTTCTCAGAAGTTCACAACTGGCTATAAATTTGACCTTCAATGACATTCTCAAGGTCAAAAGGGTATTTTTTCATTTTGCTTCAAATTGACCAGTTTTTTTCAAAATCATTTACAAATAGTTTTTTTTTCAGAAATTCACACTGACTTTAGATTTGAGATTTCACCTTCAATGACCTTCTCAGGGTAAAAAAAGTATTTTTCAACTTGCTTCAAATTGAATAATTCATTTTTTCAAAACCATCTACAAGTTCTCAGAAATTCAAACGTGACTTAAGATTGAACTCATAATATTGTGAGCAACTAGGTGGTGACATTTTGTCATGTTAATGCCTTGTTTTGATTTGGTATGATAGTGCTTAGTACATCCCCAATATAAAATTATCATACATTCAAGGATCTTACTAGAATGAATTGTTTTTGGGCATATATGAACCAGAAGAGGTGTTTTTTAAATACTTCAAAAGGAAAAAATATTATTCACTGTACTGTAGAGTAAATAGCTAATCTGTCTCAGGTGAGAAGACACTTATATTCAGGTAGGTAGTCAGGTGATACACATGGCCAGGTAGATTCACTAACAGATTCATCTAGCAGGTGTATAAATAACACTCTGATATCTTATCCATTGACCCTCAAGACCACCTGGTTGATCCAAGATGTTCACAAATATTCACTTTTAACAAATCTGCTGGAAATTCGGAAAATTCATGAGAGGTGATTTTGGGTAAGAACTATAAATAAATGATTAACATCCATTACATCAATAATTTTTCCATTAATAATTGCTTAGATTTCGAAGTAGCTTGATTGTTATATAATTTGCTTGATTGTTATATCATTTGCTTGATTCAGGAATATCCTTGAAATGATGCAATGTTATTTGGACATGTTTTGAATGCAAAATAAAGTAGAAAAGGATGGAAACAGCAAGGATTAAAGCACACATGCATGTCATATTTAGTGTTATTTACTCTAAATTGTATAGAAATGCAAGAAAATGAGACACTTCATTCAAATTCTAGAGAGGTATTACAGGAAAAAGCATGGGTAGACAGACATTTTGAGGAAGAACAGACTCCCAGGGCAAGGTGTAAAAATTGCTGGTTAATATGTTATTCTTGACATCTAATATGTTGATTTTGACAGTTTAACTTGTTATTTTTGACATACAAACCTCTCCTTTATTCACTGAACCCCTCTTAAGAAAGCCTATTATCTTAAACTCCCGGGTATCTTTTACAGAATATTTGTTTGACTTAATTGGATATATTTTTGCTTTTAGCTCTTTCTTGATAGTAGACAAATATCCCTTTCACTTGAAACAAGTCTTGCATGTTGAATTTAAGATTAATTCACAATCTGTCTCAAAATTTTGCACTTCATTTTAAACTATGAAAATCAAAAACTGTCTGAGTATGAGGTAAAATTCTTGTTATTGACAAGCTGATAAATTGCATTGGTCACTCAGGGCTGTTGAGTTCTCATGTTCTGAAGTTCTTTAAAACATATGTTTTCTAGAAACAATTAGTTCCACAGACTGCATTCTAAAGTCTAAGATAACCTGAATATTTTTGCCAATGACGTTAGGAAATGTATATCTTCGTTTAATTAGCTTTGAGAGAGAAAGACAGGTTGGGTGTTTTGTGTATTAGCCTACCTCAAAATAAAATATTACTAAAAAGAAAGCATTCTAAGATATCTGACTGAACGGTGGTTTTATTTATACAATATGGCATTTTAAAGTTGAAGAGATACTCATGTTGGCCAAGATTTTTTATTCAAGTTTGATATGGTTGGTAGGTGTTGTGTTGCGGTATTTCCAGTTTGCTGTAAGTTTAATGTAAGGGTACCCTTGGCTAAAATGTGATGGTGGTCACATTTTCAAACTAGAAATATTGTAGAAAAGAATAGAAGTAACAATAAATGAACTATACATGCATGAAATGCTAACTCTAAATTGTAGAAGAAGACAGGAAAATCAGACACTTCTTTCAAATTTTTAAGAGATCTTTGAGAAGAAGTATTGAGCAGATGGACAGTTCAAATTTGGAGAGTTCTGACATTTAGAATGTCTTGTGAATACCTTTCAAGTCTCATCCCTGCAGAGCATAACATTCATTCTTCTTTTAGTATGTTCATTTACATCTATCTTACTAATGTACCTGTATATATTACTAGTTGGCAAAGTGAGATTCAGGAATGTCAGAATACATAAAGTGAAGAGATGGAACTTTTGAGTCAATTTCTGTTTTGGAAATTGAGTCATTATGGCTGGCTTCCATTTTACTTTCCATAGCTGGTATAGTTGAGATTCCTTCAGGTGAAATAGTTACCGTATTCTCTGTAATTAGCGCCCAGGGCGTTTAGAAAATTGAAAATACATTATTTAGACCATTCTAATAAGCGCCCATGTATGAAAGGAATCAGAAATCCCGAGGAATTTCATGTATGGCAATTTTTCTTGACAAGAATGCATTTTCTTCAACATATTTTTATAATAATATGACAAGTGCTGTTATTGGAGAGAATACGGTAAAGATCGCTTAGACAATATTGACAGTGGTTGAAGACCCGTCTATGTCTAATTTATTTCCGGCACGCCCACTTTGTCATTATCGCCGATTACCTTCAATATTTCCACTAGAGACTGCTGGATATCGATCTAAAGTTATACATTATTTCTAATTTGATGAGAGATCATCATTATTCGTGCAAAAGTCGTGTAAAAGTCGAGAAACATGAAAAAGAAACCAGAAAGTTCACGACCTTGACATGCGCAGAACATCTGCGCAGTAGCTTTTGAAATTTCTGAATGCCGATAAAGAACAATTCCTTCATTCATTATGGATTATTATGATTCCTCAATGTTTCTTGAACTTTGTGAAGCGGGGTGGGCGCTTATTAGAGAGTGGGCGGTAATTACAGAGAATACGGTACATGTAATTATAAAATAGTTTTTTGTTCAGTTCAAGGAGTTATCAACAAGGAGTTACTCTTAAATTACATATTGAGGGTGGTTCATAAATTAAGGTGCACTTTGATCTCATTTGAAAAGTATACATTCAATCAGTGTTAAATTTTCAGAGTTGATGATTTATGGAAGTGGCAACATTTCTGTGAGCTTTGATTACTATACCTGCTTTATGTTGTGTGTTCAATGTTTCTAAAATAACTGTGCTGTTATGCTGTCATAAGGTGCTTTGTGTATGGAATATCATTTTGACAAACAGACACCAAATTACACACCTGGCCCAGAAAATCAGCCATTTTGGGTCAAAATGGAAGGCCAACCAAAAAGAAAACAAAGATGACTGATAGAACACTGTGTATATCAAGGTAAGACACAGTTGGATACCCAGAGAGAGTCTAGATAATGCTTTAGGGACGAAAGGTTTGCAAGAAAGAAGGTGTACAGGTGGTACAAACACTTTAAATCGATGAGGCACAAGAATTGAAGATTTGCCCATATCTGGCAGGAACACTATCACAATAACGGAAACATGCCTCATTTGGATGGTTTTTGCCTTTCACTGTTGAAAATTGTAGAAAACATTCCTTAATATTATGTTAACAAGTGTATGAAGTATCTAAAATAAATATTAGAAACTCTTGAAATTAGATCAAAGTGCACCTTACTTTATGAACCACCCTCGTATTTAATTAACTCATCGGTCTTTAAAACACAAAAATGGGAGTTGTGAATTCAGTTTGATATTTTTCATTTCTAGACCTTTTATTTTGAAATGTGTGAGAGATAAGTTGAATGGTAAAGATATGCTAAGATAGGGATGAGACTTTTATTTACACACATTGTGTTAACAATATCCACCTGCGGCTTAGAATAGAACTAGCTCATTTATCATTTATGGCCAGATGAAAGTCATGCTTATTCCATGCCATATCTCTCTAACATTTCAATGAAGTGTCTCATTTTCTTTCATTTCTGTAGAATTTAATGTGTTGATTTATGTCTAGTTTGTTGATTCCTTGCTGATTTCTCTCTTTTGTTTTTTAAAACATGCCAGCAAGTTGGGTTAACACTATGCACCTAAGAATAGAATTAGCTGATCTATCAACTTCCACATTCAAGAACTTGACAACTGATTCATTGAAACACCAAATTAGACTGCTTCTGTAAGAACACAGTTTTCGAATGAGCCCTATTGCACAAAGGTACCCCATCATGATATCTACTCCATTTTTAAGCAGAAAGGAAGGGTTCTGATGAACTAAAAATAAAAATGGGTAAACTTAGCTAGAAAGCATATCAGATTTGCCTTGCCAGTTTCAAGAGAGAAGGCTCTGTACTCTGTATGGATATAAATTGGATCCAACAGACTATATGTATAAACCCTGTTTACTTGTGTGTCACTCTTATTTTTTCATTGTTAAATTGGTATGTCTAATTGTATAACAGGTATATCTCTTGGATACTATGCCAATGGGGATAACCAAGAGTCCCGGGTGTTCACTGTGTACAAAATTTGGCGGGGGTCCTAGGTTTAACCCTCAGATATTAATATATTCCCATACCAAAATGTCAAATTTTTATGTGTTCCCATACCAACCAATATTATTTGTGCCCAAAAGCCATACCAAATGCCCAAATATGAGACCAATGTCATACCAAATGTCAAAATACAGGACCAATGCCATACCAATGCTATGACCGGTCCAAAGTAGATGGGTCATTTAGTTTATCTTAATTTCTTCCCTTCCCTTCTTTCCTTTTCGAGAACTGGCCTCTGCGCTCACAAAAATCATCAGCATACCATTTTATATGTGTATAATTCGTATGTTGTCTTCAGCAATATTGTGAATTCCATCACGGTTATACCTCTTGTAATTTCAAACTGTGGTATAACATATTTACAATATGTGGTGTTACACAGAACAAATAACATACAAACATTCAATAAAAATCAACCTCTCTTGTACAAACAAATAACTATTAGGTACATTTTTTGACCAAGCATATATGTCCTTTCCTCTCTAGCTGAAATGTACTTTTTGACCCTCAAATATAATTCAAGGCTCTTATTGCCTCTTCTTTCCCTCAAACTTGGTTGGGATACAGAACCATAGACAACCACGGGACAACATTGGTTGTGATGCAGAACCATGAAATGGGACAACATTGGTTGGGATACAGAACCATAGACAACCACGGGACAACATTGGTTGTGATGCAGAACCATAAAATGGGACAACATTGGTTGGGATACAGAACCATAGACAACCACGGGACAACATTGGTTGTGATGCAGAACCATAAAATGGGACAACATTGGTTGGGATACAGAACCATAGACAACCACGGGACAACATTGGTTGTGATGCAGAACCATAAAATGGGACAACATTGGTTGGGATACAGAACCACAGACAACCACGGGACATTGGTTGGAAAATGGTAGAAACATAGTCCTTAATACCTGGTTCATCTATGCCTGGGGTAGAGTTCACATGTAATGTACATGACTTCTTTATTTAAATGTTTGTAATTCTAGGTGTTCTACAAAGGCTGATTGTGCTGCAAGTGCAACAGATCTGAGGTGGTTGGGATATGGTACAGACATGTGTCTAAAGATACAGTCCAAATCTAAAGATCAGACACCAGTAGAAATACAAACAACGGTAAATAAACTTCAACATATCATAAAAGTCTTTGGTATGAAAACATTGCTGTTATATCTTAGAGAAAATTAGAAAAACTCTAAATTGATCAAATTAATACGATGTTAGTTCATGCATTCCTTGCTGAACCTCACAAAACAGTCAGAATTCTAATATCTGTGATTTTGAATTTTCATTGATAGTCACCGGGCCTCTCCTCTCCACTACTATATCTATATCTATAAGACAAGGGGAGAGACCTATGGGCTTGTAAATTGTAATATTATTCCTTGTATAATAATTACTTCTTAGTCTTAAGTGCCAATTTGATTCAGTGAAGAGTTTAAGCAGTTAGTATGATTTTGTGTCGAATCTTTAGATTATAAACCAATGTTTTTATAGACATTTAATCAGCCAAGCTTTCCAGAAACACTTTGAGACAACTTTGAAACATCTTCCAGTGTAATAAACAAACTTTGCAGCAAAAATAAACAATTGTATAGAATCAACTGTATTCTTGAACTTTATACTCAACCAGTGAGTGAAATGCCATTGTGGTTATGCTTTCAAATGGGAACTAGGGAGGAAAATGTTGGAATAAGCAAGGAATGAAGTTAACAGGCAAGAAATTAATACTCTTCACTGTAAAAATGCAAAAAATGAATGAAATGTATTCAAATTTCAGAGAGAAATGCAATGGAATAAGCATAAGCAGATGGACATTTTAACTCTTGAGAACTCCCCAGAAAGTAGTTCTTAACCCTTGTAGAAGAGTCCCAATTTTATCTATATGTCTCATAATAATAAAAAAAGATTCGTGAACAATGTTGAACAAACTGTTTTTGAAATATTTTAAGACTTGTATATTATTTACAAAATTTTCCAATGGTCTTATAATGTTTGAATATTACAAAGATTTTGAAAAGGTTGACAGTTCTCATCAAATCCAAATTTAAGTCAATATGAAACACCTTTCAAGTTGAGAACTATGGTATCTTTTACTTGACACACTCTTTAGGAATCTTAATCCATATATTATCACCAGGGGGCCAGATATTGATTGAATTGTTGACCACCTACTGGTAATTAGACAACCAGTTGTATGAACCAGGAGAAGCTCTAAATAATGAAACTGAGGTACAACTCACTATTTATCAATCTCTATATCTTGCAAAATGGAGTGGGGTAGAGCATTCTGATATTCATCACATCTCTTCTTATAACTGACATCAATCTGTATTTCCAAATGAAGAGATTGCCATGGTAATTCATGATGGGAGTAGGGTTCACCATGGTAATTTATGATGGGGGTAGGGTTCGCCATGGTAATTCATGATGGGGGTAGGGTTTGCCATGGTAATTCAGGATGGGGGTAGGGTTTGCCATGGTAATTTATGATGTGGGTAGGGGTCACAGACAAAAACTGGTTTCTTATCTGACATTAATCTTTTGACAGCTTCCCCTAGTTTCATGAATAAGAATCTTGTAACTGCCATACCAAAATAGACCCTTAGGCATTGGGATCATCTTAACCTATTCAATAAGCACCCCATCTTGTCAGTTATCATTTCACCTTCCAAACATAGGCAAGTTGAGGTTTGTATGAAGTTAATTTTTCACAGGAATTAAAGACATGAGATTACACTGTGGTTGTAATAGCATCCAGTAGAACATAATAGTGTGGTTGAATCACATTGTGCATGTCACAAAAGTATCTCTTGAGGTTGTCTATGAAGCATTTAGTCATTTCAACCAGTCTCCCATGCAGAAAAATACATCTGCTCTGTTCAATAATTAGTTAATGCATACCCTAGAAATATGTCATCTTGGGTCTCTACCCCCACTCTTCTACTTCATCTCTGTAGAGTGGAGGTGCCTAGGGGGGGGGGGGGTCACGCGGAATTGAGGCTATAAGGTTGAGGAATATGATGATATTTTCAATATTTAATATCCTGAGTATGAGATTCTCACTTTTCATTATTGTTGGCTTAACTTTTACTTTCTTTTTGGTGTTGAACTAACATGTAACAAATATGTTTGCAATGCTTTATTTTGATATCTTCTAAATGTTAATGGATGAATTGTATCTAAACAACTTATAAAAACAAAGCAAATTTTAGGAAGATGTTTTGCCTCTGCAACATTATTTTGAAACATTTCCTAAAGTTGTGAACTATTTAAGTGCTATTTTCCTAACTAAAATAAGTGGTGGTTTTTGGCCATGCAAAATTATTTTGAATTATTTTCCCAAAGTTGTGATTTCTAGAAGTGTTGTTTTCATAACTAAAATTGAGGGAAGTTTGTGGCTGTGAATCATTTAGACTTTACTGGCTACTGTTGATGATAAGTTAGTTTTACAATTTGCAAAAATAGCAATAAAGATTGAAATGTTTGTATTTAACTTATGTGTTTAGATAAAGTAATGAGCTAATTATTTCTTTATCTGCTGTAATTAGTAATCCCATAGCATAACTATAACAAAGAAATCAATCCCTGAATAAAATTCCATTCCATAGTTTTACAATATAACAGAGTGACAAATTATGGATTCGACAAGAAATAAAATAGTTTATAATATCTGGATTATAAATCATTGAAAAATGCAAAACAAACTGTCATTTCATTCAGATTATAGGGAAAAGTTGGTGAAATAATTAGAAGTAGCATGGACTTTTTACTACAAAAGCAAAGGTAATTACATATCCCCTTAAGAAGTGCTTATTCAGCAGAAATGACTAATTTCCTATGTTTTGAAATATGATCAATTGATTTCTCAAAGGCCACACAAAGTATCAATAAGATTTATACAGCAATAAATAGACTACCTTTGCTTAAATGTCCATTTGCTTGTGCTATTTCTCTCAAAAATTTGAATAAAGTGTCTGATTTTCTTTGATTTCTATATAATCTTGAATATTAGCTGTGTGCCTATTTACTTTATTCCTTGCTGATATCCCTCATTTTCACTTTATTTCATTCTTAAAAACATGACCATCTTTGCATTTTCTCATACAGGTGAAAAAACATCCAGCAATTTAACCACTTGAGCTCCTTAGTAATATAATACTATGGAATCAATTCTGAAATGAACAATATTTAGTTGAACTGAGGAAACATATTAAAATTCCTCAGATTAATTTCCTAAATTTATACCTGGTTAATGATATTGAAGAGAGCAATTTAAGATCAATTGTATGTTTTTAATAACACTCATTCAATCAACTCAGTATAATGACAAGTATACTCAAGGAACATTATTCCTCCATATAATCCTATAAGAATTATTGATATCACACCTTGAGTTCCCATTTTGTAACTCTCCACCAAATGGATGGGTAATGTTTGAAATTGTTTGTAATTTGTAATTTTTGTGTGCCATTTGATATCTGTAACAAGTTATTACATTTTTGTAACCATTTGCAGGTGGTGACATTTTGTCATTAATTGTTTTAATATTAATGATATGTTTATTCTTGGTATATTTCCAGATTGATTTTTCAATAAGTCAGTTGCCAGCCAATCAGGAGTATTCCTGTGTATTTGGAGATGAGAATGAGGGCCCTGTTGCTATGGCAGCCACTGTGACATCATCAGGCTTGCAATGTCAAACGCCACCAACTGCAGAACTGCCATCTGTCTCAAACACAACGGGTACACCCAGAAATTATATTTTGTTTGATTAACTAAACTTTGACAAATAATGGCTTAAAAAGGTGAGATGTCATATTTACATACTTCCATCATTCCCAATTGGTCGCTTCATGATGTAACACTGCAATATGGCCAATTCAGGAAAATAACAAGGCAAGATAAATCAATGTATATTAGATAGTCTTACATTGCCATAGCAGTTTTTGGGGCATCTGTGACATATTGTCACATTTATTCCTCGTTTAACTACTGTTTTTTTTTATTCCAGATCACATACTTCTATCCCTGTACATCAGATCAGAGACAACCGAAATTGCCTTTCTTAAGACACACTTTACATTTTTCAACTGTGGAGTTCATACAAGGTATATATAATACATGGTGTCATATCTTTTCATACAAGGTATATACAATACATGATGTCATATCTGTTCATACAAGGTATATACAATGCATGATGTCATATCTGTTCATACAAGGTATATACAATATATGATGTCATATCTGTTCATACAAGGTATATACAATACATGATGTCATGCATTTTCCACTCTATTTCTCTTTTATATGACAGTCTATGGAATTTAACATTTCTCCTCTGACATGACTAATAACTATGAAAACTGGTCAACATATCCTATTTTTCTCCCGAGGTACCTGTCATTATTTTGAATCCTTTTTTACTTTTTTTAGTTGTTCTTCCTGCGTAACTAGAAGATGGGCATGTGACTGGTGTATCAATGACAACAAGTGTAGGAGTAATCAGAAATCGTATTTGTGCCAAGTTGATGTTGTTAAAAGTAAAGAGGTATGTCATAATTATATATCATGTATATAAAGTTGAAAGTTCTATATTGTAGGATAAAGTGTTTCACTGCAGTATTTGCCAAATTAGTCAGAATATCTAGGACTAGGACTTCATAGTTCCAATGTTAGGTTCAAAAGTAGTAGCTTGCATGTGTAGAACTATTAATGGGAGTTGATGTAAATGGCTATTAATTAATGCTTAACTACTCTAGGTTAAACGAGTCTGAAGTAAATCTGAACATTATTGTTGGCTTATTATCTTGAAATATGAAATGCCCAGACTGGTAGTTATTATAAGATATATTTGATTTGTCTGAATTGTAAAGGTCTTAATAAATAATATCACTGTCTTTAATTAAACATGTGACGTGTTTCTTTGAAATGAACTGTGAATTTGATGCTCTTTGCTGTCTAGTTGTCTCTTTGATTTGATTAATGTTTATTTATTATGTTTACTACAATAGCAGGAACGCATTACATGCTATAACAGTGAAAATCGAAAAGGTTTATTTGTTTAATGAATGACCGCTTACGCTTATTCCCTACACTTTCCCTCTAAAATTTGACTGAACTGTCTGATTTTCTGACATCTTTATACAATTTATAGTATCAACTACATACCTGTTTATTTCATTCCTTGCTAATTTCACTCTTTTCTATTCTATTTTCCAATTTAAATCATGATCTTTTTATATATGGGGAAGAATGATTAATGCATTGTGTCTAGGGGTTTTACACTCTATTGTTGTCAGATTTGATAGAGTAGGTTCAAAAGTGAGACATTCTTGGTAATTAGATATCATTTAATGTAATGGACTAAGAGAAATGTTCATTTACTACTATCCATCAGTTTACCTTGCTTTATTATGTTTATCATATTCCTTGGTAGTTATTAACATTGACTTTTATATTTCCAGGATGATATGTGTCCACGTCTAGAGCCATTCAAGGACCCGTTACTCCTCCATAATGGCCATAGACAGTCCATCACCCTAGAAGGAAACTACCTACCTGAACCTTTGGTATGTCATTCTCTTATTATTTTCTTTGAATAAATAGTTTTTCTCAAATGAAACATTTTTCAAATCATTTTCCACTTACATGTTTACTTTATTATTTTTCTGTTGCAGGATAACCAGGGAGGTTATGAGTGTCTTGTACATATTGACCCTGATGTCCCCGTGAGAGTCCCAGCCACAAGACGCAATGAAAAAGAGCTGCAATGCCACGCAAATGCTGTACGTTTGCTGTACCATATGGGAGGGTTCAATTTTGGCAGATTGCATTGATATTTCTTTTGTTATACAAATAGTTTTTGATTTATTTTAATTCATTTACACATATTTTCTCTGACTATTTACAATAGTGCTACTTTAAAGTTATCAGTGTGATAAATTTACATATGTATTAGAATAAAATAATTTCATTTTCAGTACACCTACCCAGAGAATGTTGGGGAAAGGGCAGTTGAGATAAGTGTGGTTTGGAATGGCAACCATGTTATAGATAGGCCACCTAACTATCAAGGTAGGGCACATGATGAATGATGATATTATATAATTCTCTTTTGTTTAGCTGGCCTTATATCAGGGACGTGAAATATCATAATCTACAAATCATGTTACATTTACTTTTATATATGTATTATTGTCTGATTCATACTCTAAATGTGAAAATATATTACTAGTTGCAGATTTTTAAGGCCAATTTACCATCAGTTTTGACTAAAAGCACTTTTGGTTTGTATTTCTAGGAGAAATCTACAAGTGTGATTTGCTAGGACCAGATTGTAGTATATGTCTCAGCCTGCAACACAATCCTACTCCCAAGTATAAGTGCTCCTGGTGTGACGGTTCATGTCATTATAATGCTACATGTGTAAATCCACCCCTAGATCAATGCCCCCTCCCAATTTTGAATAGTGTATATCCTCTATCAAGCCCAAAAGAGGGTGGCACTGAGATTACAATTCTCGGAACAAATCTTGGATCTAGATTTTCTGACGTTGAAAACTCTGTAGTGATTGCTGGGAAACCTTGCATCGTCCTTGAGGAAAAATATGAAATATCAAAAAAGTAAGTAAATAGTATCTAAAAGATTTGTCCCTAAATGTTGGTCCTGTCTTGCATGCAAATATGCCACTTGAAGACTTTTTAGTTCTAGTATCATTCTAAAAGATTTGCTTGTGAACATGACAAAGGCACACTTTTATTCATAATTCTGTTCAATAAATATGATTTTTTTTATTTTGCTCAGGATTGTATGCAGAACTGGCAGTGCTCAGGTGAAGTCTGGTACTGTGAAAGTTTCAATAGGTGGCAACACTGTCACATGGCCCAAATTCCACTATAAGGTAATAAAAATATAATCTGCATTATCCTATTTATTGCATCATTTCTATTTCTAAAGCAATACAAAGTACTGTAAAACATTTGCTTTGAATTCCCATTCTCTATGCACATACAGCTTATAACAAGACTAGCTTTCAATTTTATCTTATTATCGTTTTATCTCAATTAGGTCACCGTTTTTATAGCTAGTATATTACTAAAGGGCTAATTGGAAACACCTTAACATCTTAATTTTATTATTCAATACAATTTCTGAATTCTGAAATGAAAACTAAAAAGAAAGGAAAGATGACAGCAGTGTGTAATTCATCAGCCTGTGTAGCCAGAAAAAAAATTAGATTTTGTGAAGCTTGTAACTGAGGTGCCTTATATAGAAGCTCACATCTGAGCTTTATTCCCAGTTTATATGCGGCACTACATGCAAAAACTTGTTCCAGGATCCCAAGATTTTGAATGTGCTGCCATCTAAAGGTCCAAAGTCTGGAGGCTCTAAGATCACAATCACTGGGAATGACTTTGACACTGGCAACTCTGTACATGTCAATATTAAAGGAGTAGCCTGCCCTATTGTAAGGTAATGGAATATTCTCAATTACCCTTTGTTTTGTAAGCTACATTTAACATTATATCCCAAGTTAGCATTTATTGTCTGATTATAGCTTTCTCCTTATTAAATGTCTTCACACCAAAATAATCCTGATCTATCAATTCATTATATTCAATTTGGTTGTGCTAGAAACCATTTACTGGGTGAAGGTTTCATAAATAAAAAGATCGGTCTTAATATCAATACATTTTAGGGGGACCCTTGAAGCCAACAGATTGGTGTGTCTCACTGGCAGAGTCCCAGTGGCCGCAACAAAGAAAGAATATGTTTGGATGACGTTTGATGAGCAGACCCCTCGTACTAGTGAACGACCAGCCTTTATGTATACAGAAGACCCTGTGGTCACACTTATTTCTCCATTGGTCTCTTTTGCAAGGTATCTCATTAATATTGTTATTACAACTTGCTCAAGTACTTATTCTTGACTTAAAAATTGTTTTAAGTTTCATTTTAATGTGCACATGACTGACATTAAAATGCCCTCAAATTTCATTTACCTTGAGTTTTCTAAATGGATATATCCAAATAGTAATTACATAAATAAATAATACGATTTTAGAGAGTTATGTGGAGCATCGGTAGAAGACAGATGCACAAAAATATTTACTATATTTACTATATTTTATAATTTATTGTGTTAAACAGTGGAGGAAGGATGATAACAGTAACTGGAAGTAGTCTAAGCTCTGTTCAGTACCCAGAGATGTTCATTGTATCGAATGGAAGGCGCTCAAACACAACAGTAAGAACCTATTTGAATTAGAAATGTTCCTTAGTTACCATATTTATTTTTCAAGTTTTGGGTTTTGTTCAACATTATTGAATTCTTTTAAGGTCTGCTCCATATTGGCTGACACTAAGATGAAATGCCCAACGCCAGAGGCCCCACAAGACATACAATCATCCCTCCTGAAGGCACCTATCGCTAGAGATAGGAGACAAACAACACCAAATATGGTAGAGGTCGGGTTTATCATGGATGGAGTATTAAATGTTCAGAATTTGACACAAAACTTTCCCGATGTTGATGCAACCATTGAGTATGTGATCGATCCAAAATATGACCAGTTCGTTGACAATAAGAAGGTGCACAAAGGTTCCTCCCTAATATTAGAGGTATGTTATATGTTAATTCCTGAGTGTTTTTCATTTGTCAGGCCTGTAACACAGTTGTAACTGAAAATCTTTGACTCTTAGTATCAGCATTGGCCCTCTAAGTTGGGTATAACTAGTAAATCATTTTCTGACTGGTGATGAAATGTTCACCTTTTTGTACTGGTCCCTTCCCTTACCCAAATTAACATCAATATAGATTGAAGAAATGAGCTGCTTAGTTTATGAGAAATAAGATGCTGCATTCAGTGGGATGAGATGCACATATAATGCTTTGTTACATTTAAAGCATTTTGTTACTTTCAGGGCAATAATCTTAACATTGGGTGTACAAAGGATGACGTACATGTTAAAATAGGCAAAAGTGACTGTGATGTGACGTCATTAGCACTGTCCCAGCTCGTATGTACACCCCCTGAGACACAACCTCTGGCCATTGATGAAGATGGCAAAGAAATACCCGATAAACTACCTGAAGTCACTGTATGTTTTTTTATGTATAAAGTATTTCACTGATAGAATTGTGATGTTACTGTTCATGCATTTCTTTACATATATCAATAAATCTTCTCAATTAAGTCCATCCCAGGCAGGGTCAATCTAAATTGAATTTAAAATCCTATATTATACACTGATATTGTATTGACTAAATAAAATATATAATAAAGAATTAAACATGATCATATTTTAATACTATAAATATGTGCTATAAAGTAGGCTTTTGCATATTGTATATGAACTTGTAGTTTTAAACAAATCTTAACTTTCAAAAATAAACATTCTTCATTTTTTACTTCCAGGTGTATGTTGGCAACCTTATATTCAAGTTAGGTGAACTGGAGTATGAAATCCTACTGCCATATACTTTCCCCCTTGAGGCCATCATTGGTATATGCACTGGCGGGGGCTTCTTGATCCTTGTTATCATTATCATTTGTGTTGTGTATATGCGTCACAAAAATCGGGCAAAGCGGCAATACAAGAAGATTCAGATCCAGCTTGATACGCTAGAGAGTAACGTCCGTAATGAGTGTAAACTTGGTGGGTATTTTTCCGAAATTCAGTTATCTTTCTATTATTATACACGTGTATCGTACTGTCATAATAATTACACAAAGTTGTATGTATTTCAAGACTGTATTGTCTTAACTATGCAATCTTGTACCTGTTTCTAACTAATTCTTCTTTTTAACATTCCACCATTTTCAATTTCCTGAAAAGTCCTCTTGCGAATGAAAACCTAACTGATTAAAATTGTCCTCCAGAAGTTGGCCATTACTGGTTGACAATTGTATCATAAATGGTCTTCCTGTGCAATGGATTATGGGAACTTACACAAATGGTGGATTTTCTTGTCATTGACATGTTTTGTGTTGTATTGCCTTTAGCGCTCACTCATTGACACAATAATCACACCATTCCTACCCATGCAGAAATATTTTCAAAATTATTTCTGATCTGATGAAATAGCATTCTGAGATCTTAAGTTTGGCACATTTTTAGGGGCTGTATTTACATCCCCAAAATTTGGATTATTTCAATGTGATTCTAGATTCAAAATTGCTATATCACCGCAGAACAGGTTGTTATGAATTTGAATTTGTTATGGATCAGATGTTGTAATTACAATTTTTATGAAAATAAGTTTATCTGCATGAGAAGGAGTAAGCAATCATCTAGTGCCTTAAGAGCTAACATCTTGCTATATTACACAACTAAGATTTAAAAACACTTTGATACACCCAATTTCAATGTAAATAAAGAATATAATATTGTAAATTAATATTTCTATTCTGTTTGATCATTTGCAATTGCATAGTTATTTGCATAATTTTCCTACCCATTGCATGTCTGTTGAATGTTTGCCATTTTGAATGACGGCCATTTTGAATGTCGGCCCTTTTCTTTTTTAAAGCCTTTGCCGAGCTGCAAGCAGATCTATGCGCGTGTGAAAATGAACCTTTATTAGGGCGGCAAGGTACCCTGCCATTTTAGATAGGTGGCGCTAGGCTTGCTCTTATAGGTGGCAATGTAGCTTGCGTGTGGGTTCGGTGGCTTGCAGTGCATTATGGGTGCTTCCCACCCACCCACCCATTTAAGTAAACTCTGGGTGCTGTACAGATTAAGTCCCTTATTGATATTTCAATTCTTTTCCCGTATTATAGTTACTCATCTCTTTTTCTATAGTTTTCATATACCATAATTAACTCCATTTATTTAGGTTATTTTCAGGGGCTGCAGTAATGAATCTCTTTTATAATTATAAAGATGATAACATAATTCAAAAACTGATTTTAATTCGCTTTTTATTGAACAAATAAATAGACATACATGTAGTGAATATCAGTATACATATATCACTTGTGGTATATGTGCAATTATATATTAATTAATAGTAATTCTGGGAGATAAGCTATTTTAATGAGAGTAGAATGCACTTCTAGAATCACACTTCATTTAATGTACACAAAAATCACATATACAGAACAAATCAATGCACATCCATAAATAGTTCTAAACATTAGTTGCACAACTCTTGTAACATAACTTTTCTCACTTCTGTATCACATCTAAAGAAATCTAGATATAACTCCCCTGAGTCTTAAAATAATATAATGTAGAAATAATCCTCATTGTTATCTCTAAAATTAAAGTTACCAAATAATAAGTTAATAGCATGGGGCAGCATTAAAGGGATCTTAGGTTGCAAGCATGCATGCTCAGAGCAATTTAAATTGCATGCGCGGAGGGTGGTTTGCCTCAAAGGTAATATAGCGCTGCATGGAGGGTGGTTGGCTGTTTATAATTGAAATGTCTCACTGGTCATGTTTTTCTGTGAGATAATATCAAAAATTTAGTGAGATGAGCAAGGAATTAAGTGAACAGGGACATAGAGCATACTTATAATTACAGTGTACATTGGAATGCCTGAATCAGATCAGATGTTTCATCTAAATTTTTGAGAAAAAACTCATGGAATAAATTTGACTAGCGAAGAAAATTGTGATATTTCAAATATTGGGAACTTTGTGTGTAAAAAGGGTGTTGGTCAATAACTTGCATGTGTTTGTTTGTTGTGTGTGTTCCATAACAACATTATTCCATCAAATACATTTTATTTTAATTATTAACACGCCTGGTGATCGGACAGAATGAACGGAAGGGGAATGCTACACAGGCCGTCCAACTGTCCCGCAATTTGCGTATTTGTCACGCATTTGCTGGAAAATTTGAAGTCACGCCAGTTTTTTTTTCGTGACAGAGTATGTCACGCAAATACGCATTTTACCTGATTATTGTCCAGCAAAAATATTCCTGTAGAAAAAATTTCAAAAAAGATTGGCGATACACCACAAACTAAACTTAACTAAAAAAAACTAAACGCATTTCGTTCTGACTTTTCAAGCGGATACCGTATATGTCACGCATTTTGCCTGAAATTTTTCATGCCTACCCCCCAAGGGAAAAATTATGATTGAATTACAAAATGAATAGGTTCATGGTATGGTGAATTATGTTAGGTTTTCCAGGATTTTTTGAGGCGATGGGCTTCTAAGATATGAGATCTATTAAAAAAGGCACATCGTCATCAATTTGCAAAAGTCAATCTTTTTGCTATAAATCAAGCAACAATGGTCTACACGATCTGTAATAAATATCTCAAATCTTAAATGCCCATTGGTAAGAAAAAAAATCAAAATCACCTAACATATTTAGCTTACCGAGCACCTGTTATTAAGCAATTCAATCAGAATTTTTCTATTCAAAAAATGAATGTTCCAGATTTGTTGAATTTTCTTGCAGAAATCGCTGCATTACCCCTCCGTTCTTTCTGTCCAATCACCATGCATGATTAAGTATAATTGTGAGGCCTGTACAAAAAGTTTTGAGAATTATTGAAATTTCTAAATGGTAATTTATGGTTGTAGCATTTGCTGAGCTCCAAACTGAGATGTCTGATGTGACCAGTGATTTGAGTTCCCAGGGCATACCATACTGGGACTATAAGACATACACTATGAAGATACTATTCCCAGGTCAAGTTGAGGCACCTCTGCAGTTTAAACCTGATGTAAGTCTTAAATAATTATCATATTAATACTCTATTTGCAATGTTCTCCTCAGTTTTATATTTCACCCAGTTTAAAATTATACAATAAATGATATATTTTTATCATACCTGAATAAAAGTATGAAATTGTTGTCATTTTGTCTATTTTTGTAAATGTTTTTTTTACCCAGTTGAGGATATTTCTTGTAGGTGAAACTTGTGAATGCAACTGAAGAAATTCTAAGCAAGATACTGATTTTTGTACATTATGCCTCTGAGTGTACAGTGTAGTTCATAAGTTCAACTCACACATTTATTTACAGGGACGTCAGAGCAAGGTCATCAACTTTGAGCATGGCATGCATCAATTTTCCCAACTACTGTGCAACAAACATTTCCTTAAACTTTTTATACGCACCCTGGAGGCCCAGAAAACATTCAGTATTAGAGACAAGGCAAATGTTGCATCTTATCTGATGATCTTTATGCAGGATAAGATGGAATATGCCACTGAGGTTCTTAAAGGTTAGTGTTCCGTTGTAGCACTTGATTACACATATTATTAGATTTAAGTTATGATTTTTATGTGTGATTTTTCCATGAATATAGATGGATGGGCGTTGGCTCAAAAACCTATTATTTACACTTAAATACCACATCAAATATTGATTCGTACATAGTATTTTAGTAATACTTGAAAAATCAATGGTGGAATCTTCTCAATCTATTCAGGTATTTCTTGTGTTATTGAGTTAGACTGCATTCTTATGTTCCATATCATAAAATTATAACTAACATTTGCTTGTGGTGTCATAGTGCATATAAATACTGCATTTATGTTTTATTGAAATTAAGTTTTGAATTTAAAATTGACTGCATTTTCAGAACTGATGGAAGAGTTGATTAAGAAAAATTTAGAGAAAAAACAGAATCCTAAGTTGATGTTGAGACGTACCGAGTCTGTAGTTGAAAAGTTGCTAACAAACTGGTTGTCACTCTGTATGTACAATTATCTAAAGGTGGGTGTTATACTATATTCTTATTGTCTTTTATGTTGACATCATACAGTTCATGTAGACAAAAATCTGCTCAAGTCTGCCCTTTTTCCATAATTTCATTTAGGAATTTTCAAAAAACATATTTTATTGATTGTTGCATTTTAAGCTAATATCAATACACAGTGTTCAGTAACTTCTTTAAAAATACAATATTTAGGAATAAAGACTAAGATTCTATGATTTATGAATATTTGACTGAAAATATTATTCTGTACATTTTTAAAAGAACAAAATTGTGTAGAAATTGTCTATTCTAATATGATAAACAGACCAGAAAGACAACTATATGCATTTATGAAATTTAGTCATACATACTCATACATTAATAAGTCAATTGTTCTAGTAATTGTAACGTCCACATATCATATTAGAATCATGTATAAAACCTGATGAAATGATGCAAACACAAATGTGTTATTATTTCAAATACACTGTACATAATATGTGAAATATTATAGAAATATTTTGCTTTATTGTAGAATAAGTATCATAGTGAAACATTGCAATTTATTTTATGTCATGCGATGTGTTTTCAACCAATCAAAGAATAAAGAACATTACATTGAGATTACATTATAACATTATAAGACTGTTGTTGAAGATGATCAGGTTTATTCTCTAATATATTTCTGTTTGCTAGGACTATGCAGGTACCAGTTTCTTCATGCTGTACAAATCAATAAAACAACAAACAGAAAAAGGTCCCATAGATGCACTAACAAGTGATGCAAGATACTCCCTCTCAGAGGACAAACTCCTGAAGGAGAAAATGGAGTATAAAACCACAGTAAGTACAAAACAGGAATCATATCTGCATTATTCTGTTCAGCTAGATAAGTGTCTTGTCTTAAAAATACATGTACTTGTATATGGAAAATTGTGAAATAAAAAAATTCCAGAGAAATGTCCTTATTGTAAATATTCTTATATATGACAAGATAATAAACTAACAATTGAATTTACAATCCTTAATCAATCAGAAACAGACTTCAGTGTTTTACTAATAATTTGAACAAACTAAGTGCTGAATGACTTGGGGTAATATGCAGTGAAACTTTTAAAAATAAAAGACCGGGTTAATGTTTCATGTACATTTTTCGATATAAGTAAAACTCTAAATTATGTATTTAGACAAAATTGACAGTACTGACGTTGTCCCTTAAGAGCATTAAATTATGAATGATATTACAGACTGTGAACCTAGTCTTAGAGCCAACAACTGATGTGCTACCAGTGAAGCTACTTGACTGCGACACTGTCTCACAAGCCAAGGAGAAACTCCTAGATGCGGCCTATAGAAACACGCCACTCTCACATCGGCCAAATATATTTGATGTAGAACTAGGTAGGTGGTCCAGGAGGTAACTGCCAAAATTAAAAAAAAAACACTTGAAGATTATGTCTACATTGCATGTACATTATAAGAATATGTCCATCATTTTCATAGTTGTATTGATAGAGATCAAAAGTGGTAAGTTTTCACTTCTGGCCCTTGAATGTGATGTCCAATATTAATATTTGTTCTGCAGTGTAATTCTTATGATTGAAAATAGTCAACTACTGTATACGTTGAGGCATTCTCAAAATTGTTTTCAACTCTATAAGATTTTGTATGAGATTCGATTCTGTTTGTATCCTGAAACCAGTCGTGCCTTGAGCCTATTGTAGCAATTTTTGTAGAAACCTTTGTAGCAGTATTTGGTCATGATCAAGAAAGAACCAACTGAACCTGTTGTATTCTGGTGTCAGGATCCTATGACATATGGAACACTTTCCATGTACATCTCTTGTGCTTCATCAATTAAACAATAATAATCATATTGCCTCTCTGCAGTCAAATTTACGTTTTTGCTGATGGCACTTTCTTTTATTCAATCTTTTTTGCAATGCCTCTTCCTACTGTCAAAATGAGATCAGAATCATTTGGATTGGATCTCAAGATTCTCTTTACCTTCAGAATGAGAATCTGTGTTTTACCTGCACCTGGTGGACCTTCTATGAATTTGAATTTAGTTTCATCATATAGAAGGTCCAATTGTTCAGGAATTAAGAGCAACCATTCAGTTGATGTTCAGCTTGTCAACAATATTTGTATGTGCATCATTTGCTAGTGCTGGATGCTGCCTACTATTTTCTACTATATGTTCCTCAAAATCCAGTCCAAATATGGGTCGTTTAAAACTTTTAAATATAGGGGCCTCAGAATCATCACATTTAGTTGTTCCCTTTGATTTTGCCCGCTTAACAAGATATTTTGAAAAATGTCACAGTTTTGCAATATTTGTTTCCTCAATTCTATGCAATGTCCAGCAGTTTTCACTCTGTTTCAAAAAAATCCATTGACTTTAAGGTTATTTGACAGTGCAAAAGTTGAAAAGCTTGCTTCCAACATTTGACATTACAGTATTTATCCTTGGTCAAGGATTAGCTCAAAAAAATCCTGAGTGTGCTATGTTGATTAAGTACTTATTAAAAGCAGATCATCTTTAGTGCACTGTTTATCGAGTTAATATCACCAGTAAGTTTCAACACTATAATTTACCACTTTATCTATATTTCAGAATACCGCCATGGGCATGGTGGCCACCTTGTTTTACAGGATGAAGATCTCACAACTAAGAATATGGCCAACTGGAAAAAGATCAACACTCTGGGTCATTATGAAATTCCAGAAAATGCAGTTGTTGCCCTTGTCATGAAACAGGAAACAGGGTCCCCGCTCAAGGCAGTAAATGGTAAATATTTTTTATACAGTATCATGGGGCCAGTTCCTCGAGGTATTGAAGATCGTTAATACTTTCTGTAATGTTACAATGGAAATATTATTAAAGAATCTTAATTTTATTTTTTAAGAAAGTGTTTCGTGTTTTGTTGATACTGAATGAAGAGAATGGAAAAAGGAAAAACAAAACAACAAATGTCTTTTAACCGCATGAGTCCACTGCACATGTTGAAAATTGATTAGGTGCTTTTTCAAATTTCTGTAGTATTACATACATAATACATATACATGAAGTTCAAATAAAGCCATCAATATTGATTCTTAAGCTGTCTCTTAAGGCCCCTAGTGTAAAATTATGTATGTTTTTGAATGGAAATCTTTTTTATGTTCTGAATGTGTTCATTTCCAGGAAATGTGGACATTAGTCAGTTCTCATACAGTTCCATGTCTCCCACTTTACAAGGCATGACAGATGTCTCAGGTGCTAAGTTCTGGCATATGGTATGTATACAAAATTTACTAGATATTGGATGTCATGAGTGTGTACAATTTATTCATAAATGTTAACTATAAATTGAGTGAAAAAATACTTTTTCATAAATGATATTGAATGTCTGTAAATGATAATGATATCCTTCATATGAGTGGATATGACTTTATAATCAGCAAATTGTATTGATAATATTGTATATCACTTTTGTTGACTTCATGGATAAGATTATTATGATGTTGAAATCACAAAATTGTTTTGAGGAATAATGTTCTTGAAGGATATAATCTTAAGCCCTTAGCAAGACACCGTTGTGTCCAATTCTAAAGTAATTTTATTTACGTATTAGATGTAACTTATGTTTGTTTTTGTGCCCTTAGATCAAGCAGTATGATGACAACCAGAACCATAAAGATAGAGACACTGGGACCAAGGTCATCTCTGAGATTTTCCTCACCAGACTCCTGTCGACAAAAGTAAGCACATTTAACACTCCATGACTGCCCACCTTCCCCAATGACTAATCAACCTCTACGCTTATCCATCAACCCAATGAACAACCCACCTTCCTCAATGACTACCACTCTCCTCAATGACTAACCAAATTCACCCATGATTACCCACCTACCCAATCAAAATGGCAACATATCTCCTCAGACTACGCACCTTTGTAAAACTTGAAAAATAGTTATGTGTTCTATATAAGCCTTAAATATTAAAAAATAACAACTTTCTCTGAATAGACTATATTAATTGGACAGTTTTCTCTTCAGGGTACCCTCCAGAAGTTCATAGATGATATGTTCGATACAATACTCAATGCCAACAAGATTCTTCCACTCGCTGTCAAGTATTTATTTGATTACCTTGATGATGCTGCAGAGAGGCATGGCCTTAACGACCCTGATGTTGTTCACACTTGGAAAAGTAACAGGTATTCATTCTTGATTGATATTGTTTATATTTAGAATTACTCCTTGTATTATAAAGCTTCAAGTTCCCTTTCTTTAAGTTTCTTTTTGAGAAGAAAAATGTGAACTTTTGATTCTACATATTCCTCATTCTTGAGAAATTAAATTGACTCTTATAATTGGACTTTTATGTTCCTAGATCAATGTTTGAAGATACTCTAGTAAATAGTTTATACAAGTAAATTAAATTTGAATGTCATGATGTTCAATTTTTCCTTTATAAAGTCTTCCATTGCGATTCTGGGTGAATATTATCAAGAATCCAGACTTTGTGTTTGATGTTAACAAGACAACCATAACGGACTCCTGTCTCTCAGTCATTGCTCAGACATTTATGGACAGCTGTTCAACTACAGAACACAGGCTTGGAAAGGTGAGGGTTAACCAGGCATTAAAAGAGTTAAATTAAATGAATAAGACCAGGGAGAGTTGATTTAAAAGTACTTTGCATACTCCATATTATCATAAAGTATGCAAAACAAATGAAAAAATTACAAAAAGTGCAAATCAAAGTTACTTCTCAGTCTTCTCAGTGAATGATAAACTGTATAAATAGAGGATATCCTATGATCTGATGATTTATGAGTGATATGATTTTTATCCACGAATGGATATGATATCTGCACGAGCGAGCGTAGCGAGAGAGTGCAGATATCAATATCCATGAGTGGATTAAAATCATATCACGAGTAAATCATAGGATGTTCTTTTTATTCAATAGTTAAAGTCATCATCAGAATCGTCGGAAATTAAGTTATTTAATTCGAATTTCCAAACGATCCGGCGATGTTGACACTTAGCCTCGTTTTGAGTCTGAAGTAGCAAAAATCCATAAACCATCGCATACGACATCGTATGTCATGGCTAAAAAACCGTATGTTATGGTTAAGTGAAAATTTGTCAAAAATATCATATTTTACCACTGATTACAAAAATACCGTTTTTATTTTCACATGTTATCCTATGAATATCATGCTAACTATGGAATAAATGGTATTATCCCACCCTAAGTGCTTTATATGATTGTATAATAGCATTGTTTAACTGCAATATAAAACCAACACTCATCATATACAACTCTTGAGAACGATATACAACTCCAGGATGGCGTATACAACTCCTGGGCAGTGTATACAACTCTTCGACTTGATATACAACTGCTGAATTTAGATTAACCTTTTATTGATTAAAGATTAGGGTGGGATAATAAGATCATATAATGGTTGATTCTGTATATCGTTATACTCTCGTGAGTATATGATATATTCACTTGTTCCCTTCAGTCACTCGTGAATATATCATATACTCACTTGAGTATAAACACGATATACGGAATCAACCATCTTATATGTTAGATTTTAAATTATATTTGGTTGCAGGACTCACCAAGCAACAAGCTACTTTTTGCCAAAGACATTCCAAGATACAGAAAGCTGGTTGAGAAATTCTTTGAAGATGTGAAGTCAATGCCCCAGGTCAGTGACCAGGAGATGCATGCAGCCATGCAGGAGCTCTCTCGTTCTCATCCCAAGGGAATTGAAGTAAATGCTGCCTTGAAAGAATTACATGCTTATGTTTTACGATTTAATTATGAGGTAAGTTTCATGAATAGTAGTGCATGATTAGTATCTGAAGTGAATATGAAAATCTTTACCTCATAATATGTTCTGAAGAGCCCATAGAGCATTTTGATACCATATAAGAGAAACGGTGCTATTTATATTCACATTTTTTATTGTTTTGGTTATATTGTACATAGTTATCTCCTCATAAGTACTCATTTCAACTAAACATTTGTATAACTGGGCATCTTAAGTTATTTTAAATTAGGAAGATGATAAAATTTAGACCTTTGTCAATCATTTTCAACTCACAAAATGCCAATAACATTGAATTAAGAAATGGAACTGTCAGAAAATTGAATATCAATAGGTTTAGAATGCAAAACTTGAATTTATTCCAGATTCTGGAAGCCTTAGATGATGATACTAAGGCAAACAAGTTGAATTTGCGACAACGTCTCGAACAAGTCACCTCTGATCTTGATGAAACTCGAGTGTAGTTTTGAAACAGAGAGTATAATTGAGTATAGTTGTGAAAATGTGTGCATAATTATGAGAATCATGTTGTGACAAATGAGTGCAGAATTCAGGCAACGTATCATGTTTATATCCATAATATTAAGACAGTTCCATTTACGAATAACATGATTGGGCACTGAAAAGGAAAATGTAAAATAATATAGCCATATAAGGACATTGCAGTATTAACAAGTTGTCGTGTCGACTTGGAATCACTAGCACATGGTGATATACACTTACATATACTTAGTACACTCTATAATTGTACATTACAAAATACAGTTACAGTGTAAACTAGAGTGTATTAGACATACAAGTCTTAAAGGTTGATCTGTAGATTTTGTAGGGCCATTTTTGTTATATGGACTTACACATAAAGTATAAATGTTGAATGAATTCAGTGATAATGATGCGTAGGTGATGTAGTTGTATGTACGAGTATTATTTCATTATGTGTATACACGTGCATCCTTGAATAACTTTCATCTGGACAGACTATACACATACCTGTATACATGACCTATGGTTACAACTTAAAACTGGAATATATCTTGCAGAAAATAAGTTCTATTTGTATATTGAGGAGAAATCTACAAAAATGCTCAAGACTTTGATTAAGCAATACTTTTTCAACACTTCAAGAACAGTTATAAAATGATGTAAAGATATTTGTGAAAAAGCTTATAGATTCCACTCCCTACAGTCCAGTGCATAGCCTGATAACTTCATCCTTTTCAAGATGACACATATTTTTCTCAGGGTATGCACTAGACTGTGATAGATATTAATGAATTGTATGTTTTATAATTTAAGTTTTGTGATTACTGTATGTGGTGTAATATGCTTACAAGCATGTTTTATATAGAAAGAGAGAATCAGATCTAGCGAGCAAGCTAAACAGAAATTGTTTCAATTTATTTTATGGTTACCATTTTTATTATTTGGGGGAATTTACACATTTTTCTCTCATTTTTGTACTTTGAATCCTCGATAACTCTGTAACTTAAAAACCAATTTATAACATATCTGAGATATCTTTGGAGATTGTGTCTGAGATCATAATATAACATTATAAGGGAATAGATTGGTAGGTCAATTGTACATGTTGCTTGCAACTTTGTCATCCCCTAGATCTGGTTCTGCCTTTAAATAATTATACATACAGTTGGGGTACATGTACTGTTTGTCACATGTACAGTATACCCAGTTTAAGGCATAGCCACAAGAAATGGCTGAAGTTGAACAAGTATTCCACTCTTCTTGTGGCTGCACTGTAAACTGTAACAATATATCAGATCAAACACAGCAATTTTCAGGTGAAAAACAGCATTCTCATTTCTATATTATATTCTTATGTTCACTTAAAACACACAAGGGATTTGTTAAAAGTGGCCTTTTCAATAAACAATTACAATTCTAATATTTTTTTTTAATTTTCTTTGGATACAACTGTGGTAATGCCATAATAGATTGATCTATTTTTAAGAAACAGACTATGCTACATACATAAAATCAAGCTAACTAATCTGAAGGCCAGTTGAGGCATTCACATTTCAATGTTTCTGTCTACGGCAGATTAAAATAAATGGCACTGAAACTGAATTTACATTGAGATTGGAGAGGTGTTTGGACTATATACAGTACATAAATGGCAAATAACATGACCAATGCTCTATAATTTGATTTCAACCAAAGCTTTTGAAATCTCTACCTTGTTACATGACATTGTGCAATCATACGTTTATAATTCAAGAGGTACTGCATTATATTTTGTAAAGAACTTTTTTAACAACCTTTGTATATAGTAAGTTATCGCACAAATGTATATGAATTGTGTGTGGTGCAGTCCCTCGATAGGGGAAAGAGATTGCATTTTCTAAATTCAGTTGTAATATTTCCAATATATCATTTTTTACATATAGAATGATTAAACTTTTGTTAAAGTCTCGGGGTAGTTATCAGAAATTTACACCAAACAAGAAATGAGGGTAGTTATCAGAAATTTACACCAAACAAGAAATGAGGGTAGTTATCAGAAATTTACACCAAATTAGAAATGAGGGTAGTTATCAGAAATTTACACCAAACAAGAAATGAAAAAACATCTGGTTTTTAAAATTGACCTTAAACATGATGAAATAGCTTTTTCAGCCCTTTGAAATTGTGACTGAAAATAGTTGAGTCAACCTTTCGGAAAGGTTACTGGACAGAATATTTTGAATTCTTCAGAAAATGTGCCCAACATATTGCTTTAAATGATAGGAGCTTTGAAAATTGTCTGAAACAAACATTGTGGTCATAAAAAGGAAAACAGATTGCTTTTCAAACATGTCAAATCAGTTTTCATTTTTTCTCTATTTCTAGGAATGAATTAAAATTACACAACAACCTCAAACCGGTGTACCCTTGATTATTATTACGGTATCACACCGTTTATACTAAATGGTGAGCAACACCAAAAACTAGCATTATATTTGCTAAATGATATGTGTTAGTAGAGATTCTCGAAAATTCAAAACAAGAATGAAAATGTTTCAAGTTGGTACACTCAACATTTTCAATTTTATATTATATGTCCTCCTGTGACCCAAGATTGGATCTGGGCTGTTCTGATGCAGGAAATCTTCCACAATTTTTTATGGTATGTTTTGTAGTTTTCTTGCAGTGGTACAACCACTTTTGTACTTTAATTCTATGTTATGTAAATATTCTAATTGTGCTTTTTATTATTTTGTTTATTTAAATATATATATATGAGGACATTGTGTTAGGGCAGTAGTAATTTGTAATTTATAATTCTGTACAAAGTGTATAATATTTTTATAGCTAAATATAATTAAGATGAACAAATAAATGACTCAAAGCATACAATATAAGTTTTGTTTCAAACTATTTTATTTATAAAAGAGACTTTACATAATTGTATCATATGTAATATAATCAAAGATTTTGCATAATCCAAAAGTAAATATATAAACCCCGTTACATAAGAATGTTACAATCAAAAGGTCCAGTGTTTTTCATAAAAATTACACTATTACATGTAGATTGATTTATATCGAGGTGAATAAAGACCCTTTTTTATCTCCTTAAGGATTTACCCATATCCAATAACATAATCAATCCACATTTAGCCACTTAGCCTATCCATTGCAGTAAGAATGTGACAAGTTTAAGGTTTAAAATTAAATGATGAACAGACACCTATGTGACTTAAAATGGCATGAATAACTGGAAGCTTGGCAAAAGTTCTTAGTTTCTTGGCAACATCATCATTTCATTTTAATCAATGCTTTTGAAGTATAACAGTTGAACATGATACACTACAGTAATTAGAACCTTTTCTTTATAGCCGTGTTTTTATTTTAAATCTAAAAGTGCTCGTTCTCTATATGATATAGTATCTTCACGCTAGCAATCTACAGGGTGAGCCAAAGAAATGCAACCCTCCATTTCAATGAAGGTTTATTGCTTTGAAATTGGGCACACAAAGACTTCATTCAATGTGGGATCCTCTGGTAAAGTTTTAATAATCATAGTCTTATATTGATAGAGTTATGGTCATTCCAAAATTTGCTCCAAATGTCCATTTCCAATGTTAGGTTTTCGGATGAATCACATTTCCTTCTTTCTGAACATGTAAACTCAAGAAATAATGTGTTCTGGGATCACAAATTCCAGATGAAGGGCTTCAAAGGCCCCTTTATTCTGTTAAATGCACAACTTGGGCTGCAATTTATTTCCAAACATGAAATCAATAGCCCCTTTTGGTTTGAGCATAATGGCAACACTGTTACTGTTAACACACAGTGCAATATTGGCGTTCCCAGGAAGTTCTGGGCAGTTCTAGAGACATAGAGACTTCAATAGACGAGAACAATGGTTCTAGAAGGATGGAGCTACTTCTCACACTTCTAATGATAGCATAGCATATTGTCGGTCAATAGCGCTTGCGCTAATGTTTATTGTACAAAAAATATCTGACTTAATAAATATTGATATGATATAGCCTGGCTCACTAGTCATTTCTATGAGAAGATTATCTCTCCTAGGATGGAGAACCCATGGTCATCCCTCAGTCCTGATCTAAATGCCCCTGGCTTCTATTTATGGGGTTATTTAAAGGATTAATGTGTATGTAACCCAACCACAATTGCAGAACTCCAACGAGCAATGGCTGCAAAAAGGTACAGTCTTATTGGGATCCCTTTATGGACTTAGAAAATTTCATGAAAACGCAATTATAGATTTTTGAAAAAAAAAGTTCAAAATATTCTTGACTGATATGTGTATTTTCATTTTCTTGAAAAATATAGTGAATATTTTTGTAAAAAATATGATTTCTGGCCCATTTCTGTAACCACTCCCATCATGGCAGATAATTTGTGAAATTTAGTGTTCTTTAGAAAATGTAATAAATAAAGCCTTAAAAACAATTTTCAAGTATTATTTAAGTGAATTATGCATAATGTAATCCCTACTGAAATGTATCCAGCAGACTTATATGTGATGATGCATGATGTGTGGCATAAAAAGGGATTATAATCCAGACCCCCATTATTTACCCTTCCCAAATGAATAGAACCATGGTTCATTGAATGGACAAATTCACTGTGAGCTATGTTCTCCACCACTTTTATTTTTAGCTGTGCAGATCTAAAATTGAATTAGGTAACACTTTCAGTTGCAAAAAAAGTGGTGGAGAACATAGCTCATATAGTTTTTTGGACTTCTTTGGTATTTTTTCTAAAACATTTCTGCCACCATTTTGGATACAATGCCACCTATTAAAACGTTGCCAGACATGAAGGCTATCAATTTTCAAAAGATTTCTAGGTGACTCTCTCCATGATGCCAAAGACTTGCCTTTATCCGAGGATAGTGATACTGACAAGGAATAGTTTTAAAATAACTCAAATATCTGTTAGGGGTTTGGTCAAAATATCAAATGTCAAACAATGATTTCAATAGCTGACGGACATCGATTTTCGTTTTCCTGGGAATTTCAATTTTCAAGATTTTTGGTTTCGTTACAAGGGGGAGGGTGGTTTTAGACCTAAATAAATTAATTATGTTTTTTGACGGACATCGATATTTTGACCCGACCCCTTAGAAACCGTTCATTCAACTTTCAGCATCTGTACCTATTGGTACTCATAGAAATTCAATAAATACTAATATGTTGTATCAAAGCTTTAGAATATTTATATCAAATATATTACAATACAATATGTTGACAGTATACCAGTACATGGATTTTGACCAAAAAATATTTCAAACATTTTCCTTGCGTTAAGTATGGTGCAAATACTACTCAAAGGCTATTAAGATACCTATTCCCCATGGAAATAAACTTTAAGTCAGGTTTCACTCATGATTTTATTTTATTAAAGTATGTTTAAGGAAATTACTTGATCATTCGATTGATTTTACCAACTTGACCTTTTTGCACTCAGTGACCTCATTGGCTCATCATTTGACCTAATTTTGAAATATTATTGTGAAGTACATTTGTGAGGATACTCCAGATGCAAAATAAGTTTGATTCTGATGGGGGCAGAAAAGGGGATCCGTGTTATGAACAGTTTTGCTTGAACATTGCACGTTTGTTTTCAGCGAAATTGACGACATCTGGAGCATATTTTGAAACAACTATAACTCTATCAATATAAGACTATGATTATTATTAGTTCTTTGCCAGAGGATCCCACATTGAATGAAGTCTTTGTGTGCCAAATTTCAGAGCAATTAACCTCCATTTAAGAAAAATATTGAAGAAATGGAGGGTTGCATTTTTTTGGGTCACCCTGCAGCCCTGTATATTGTCATAATGACAACACAATATGACAGTTTCCCTATTATAAAAAAATATCCTACATATCTTATTCTATCTACAGTTCTATTGCAGAGAGTACATTGGAATGTGAACACACATACTTGGAGTTGGAATGTGTATACAAAATATATTTGGCTCCAATGATTTTGTAATTATATGATAATGAATGACCAAAAATGTATGTACCATTTGTTGAATGAAGCATTGAAATGGACACAATATCCAGAGCAACATCTGACCAGACAAATGGGAAAATCCTCCCAGAGTTCAATTGCGCAATTCTTTCCCATGATCCATCAGACCACAGACTCCAACGTGCGCCACTTTAACCTAACCATATATTTATTAATAATCTACAAATGCCAAAAAACAGATGCTGAGAAAATAAAATGAGAAAGTCCAATTCCTTTAAAATGTATGTTGTACATTGTTTTTAGCACCAGCAGTACTGCTCATGACAAGTATTGTTACACTATGATTTGTTGAGGCCCACCCAAGGCTCCAGTTTGTGCTCCTTCAATGCCTGCGCCTGAGCAACTGCATATGTATAGACCCTAGCATCTATTACTGATCCCTGGTTGGCGTGAACTGCAACACAAATGCATACATGTTGAATACCAGAGTGTATCTCATACTTGAGTGGGTTTGGGGTAGATATAACCCGGAAATATATATCATTATCTGAGGAGCGGGCAGGATATATTGTATGTCCCGCTCGAGGCCAAATGTGGGCAGATATAAATCAATCCTGCTCCCGGGAATTTTCCCAAAATTTTAAAATCAAAACATTTTTAAAGTTTAAAATTTTCAAAAAAATTTAAATGTTACAATTTTATTGTATTGAACTAAAGGAATATTACGAAAATGTTAAATACAAATTGTACTTTTACTATAAGGCCTATCTTGTCATTTGAAAAAGGTGGAAAAGGTTATATCTACCCCAAACCCACTCAAGTATGAGATACACCAGTTATGTACGGTCGGTTTTGGATATAGGGTATATCCCTTGGTCCCTCAGGGAGATATAATTATTTATCCCATACTTGGACGTGTTACGGGTACATAAAGCCGGTTTGTAAAAACTTATATTTTCATCAGCGGGCAGATATAGCTTTACGTCCCGCTCTGAGCGGGCAGATATAGTATATCTGCCCGCTACGTCATAATAGCTGTTCCCGTATTGGTTCTTTTTTGTAACGTTCGCATACTGTAAACGACAATGGAGAAAAACGCAGACAATCGCGATCTGTTTGATGCTTTAAAAAAGGGAGGAGCAGTATGCCCCGTTAATAATCAAATATTTGAACAGGAAATTCCGGCTACGGACAAGAATACAAAAATGGACATGAATATTTTAAAATAAATCCACGGTTGGTTGCAACAATTGAACAATGTGATTGGTATGGGATAAACAGATCATCCTATAGTCGATTCAGGATATTGGGATTATCCCTTGGCCAATATAATATATCTTCCCTCGGGACCTACGGCCCTCGGGCAGATATATTATATTGGCCTCGGGATAATCCCAATATCCTGAACCTCATATAGGATAATCTCTATATCCCTCATGATATACCCTATATCCAAAACCTCCCAGTACGTAACCCTTATTTATCCCATACTTGGACGTGTTACAGGTACATAAAGCCGGTTTGTAAAAACCTTTATTTTCATCAGCGGGCAGATATAGCTTTACGTCCCGCTCCGAGCGGGCAGATATAGTATATCTACCCGCTACGTCATAATCGCTGTTCCCATATTGGTTCGTTTTTGTAACGTTCGCATACTGTAAACGACAATGGAGAAAAACGTAGAAAAATATCGCGATCTGTTTGATGCTTTAAAGAAGGGAAGGAGCTGTATGCCCCGTTAATATCAAAAATCCGGACAAGAATACAAAACTGGACATGAATATTTAGAGGTTATGTCACTATGACGTGAAATATGCCTGAGTTCTCCCAATATAGGCCGACCTTGGGAGGCTCTATATTTGGGCAAGAACGAAGGCATATTTCACGTCATAGTGACATAACTGATGTATTACATGCCTTTGTTCCCATGGTTACTTTGTATCAATGACGTGACGTCATGATATTATCATGGTTATTAAAGAAATCTAATATCAAAACGAGATAAGCGGGCTATATCGGGGTAATCGGGCAATATCGGTGGATATAGCTAGCTAACTTTCCCATTGACTTCCATACAAATGCTTCGCTAGGTATGTAATACTTTAAAATAACTCCACGGTTGGTTGCAAAGTTTCTGAACTGTGGCCAATTGGAAAATGTGATTGGTATGGGATAAACAGATCATCCTATAGTCGGTTCAGGATATTTTGATTATCCCTTGGCCAATATAATATATCTACCCTCGGGACCTACGGCCCTCGGGCAGATATATTATATTGGTCTCGGGATAATCCCAATATCCCGAACCTCATATAGGATAATCTCTATATATACCACATTCTTAAACATACATTATAAGAACCTAATCTCTAATACAAATTTGCCCAGTATGCCTTTTCTCCTCTAAATACGATATGTACGACACGATATGTATTTATAGTCACAGCTACCAAACTCTGCTACAATATCTAAATCCATTTAAAAAACATTTTAAAGAGACCCCTTTCATGAACTTACCATTTAATGTGTCCAATAGCTCATTTAATGGCACTGTTAAGACTTCTATGAATTCTGAAAATAACAAAATTCATCTTGTGAATATCAATTAATAAAAAATGAAGGTCACTGAAAATGACACACAGGTTTGTCTCTACTATCTTTTCTGTGTTCGTGATATGCTGCTGTACAAAGACATTTTACAGAAGTGAAAATATTTGACAACTCTTTCCTGCTTGTTAGTCAATTTCATACCATGTGACATTCCATTAGTACAAAAAATAAGGTATTCATCTTTATATACCAGGTTTTATTTATCTAACATTAGTGCTGACATCCTCAAATTTCATGTCAAGATCACTGGATATAACTGCTGGAATTGTTTAAAACATGCTAAAGATAAAGATGATATCCTATGATATACCCCATGATAGTATTTTTGTGTCAACTAGCAACCAATGCACCATCTGAACCATAGAATGTCATGCTATATCTGATGGTATGGAATCACATTCAATGGTTAAAGGTAGAATCATATCTGATGGTATGGAATCACATTCAATGGTTAAAGGCAGAATCATATCTGATGGTATGGAATCACATTCAATGGTTAAAGGCAGAATCATATCTGATGGTATGGAATCACATTCAATGGTTAAAGGCAGAATCATATCTGATGGTATGGAATCACATTCAATGGTTAAAGGCAGAATCATATCTGATGGTATGGAATCACATTCAATGGTTAAAGGCAGAATCATATCTGATGGTATGGAATCACATTCAATGGATAAAGGCAGAATCATATCTGATGGTATGGAATCACATTCAATGGTTAAAGGTAGAATCATATCTGATGGTATGGAATCACATTCAATGGTTAAAGGCAGAATCATATCTGATGGTATGGAATCACATTCAATGGTTAAAGGCAGAATCATATCTGATGGTATGGAATCACATTCAATGGTTAAAGGTAGAATCATATCTGATGGTATGGAATCACATTCAATGGTTAAAGGTAGAATCATATCTGATGGTATGGAATCACATTCAATGGTTAAAGGCAGAATCATATCTGATGGTATGGAATCACATTCAATGGTTAAAGGTAGAATCATATCTGATGGTATGGAATCACATTCAATGGTTAAAGGCAGAATCATATCTGATGGTATGGAATCACATTCAATGTTTAAAGGAAGAATCATATCTGATGGTATGGAATCACATTCAATGGTTAAAGGTAGAATCATATCTCATGGTATGGAATCACATTCAATGGTTAAAGGCAGAATCATATCTGATGGTATGGAATCACATTCAATGGTTAAAGGTAGAATCATATCTGATGGTATGGAATCACATTCAATGGTTAAAGGCAGAATCATATCTGATGGTATGGAATCACATTCAATGGTTAAAGGCAGAATCATATCTGATGGTATGGAATCACATTCAATGGTTAAAAGCAGAATCATATCTGATGGTATGGAATCACATTCAATGGTTAAAGGCAGAATCATATCTCATGGTATGGAATCACATTCAATGGTTAAAGGCAGAATCATATCTGATGGTATGGAATCACATTCAATGGTTAAAGGCAGAATCATATCTGATGGTATGGAATCACATTCAATGGTTAAAGGCAGAATCATATCTGATGGTATGGAATCACATTCAATGGTTAAAGGCAGAATCATATCTGATGGTATGTATTTGATTTTGATTTTTTGATCCATAGGAGATGACAAAAATGTAAGCAACATGAACAATTTCAAACATCAACATTTTTTAAAAACCTCAAAACTGGTGCAAAATTCTAATAATAGATAGTTGATTGCTAACATGTGTAGAACCTTTAGAGGAATGTGTGTTCTAACTATCAACCAAGCATATTGATTTGTAGTCTCAAACTTTGAGAAACTTAGATAATAAACTCTACATCATCCATCATTCAAACTCCACTTAAAGCCATGAAGTCCAAGAGACAACAAGCCACAGGGTGAACAGAATCGCACCCTTGAACAGAATACACTTTTCGGGATGGAGAATTCAAAATGGCCACCTTAACATTTACCCAGACTGCGCCTAAAAACTAATCAGTTCTAAACTTTCCATAGAAACATTTCTAAAATTTTAGGATGGATCCATGAAACCTGTAAAAACCCTCAAGAGACACATTTTAAGGTATTACTTCACAGTGTATCAGCTTTTTTCTACAATTCAGGTTTTCCTGAAAAAAATCCTGTTAAATATATACTGATATATTACAAAATATGTGAAAATTGGAAAGATTGACCATTTAGTTATTCCTAAAAATGTCCAATGTCCAAAATGACCATCTTAACATTTATCCAGAATGTCGAAAGGTAGAAACATCCCTGAGAATTTCATATGAATCCCTCAAACGGTTTGGCTGGAAACCTGAGACAAACCTTGACAGACAAGATTTTAGGACAGAAAATCCAAAATGGCTGCCTTAACATTTACCCATAATGCCGAAAATCCAAAATGGCCACCTTAACATTTACCCAGAATGCCGAAAAACTAATCACTTCTAAACTTTCATAGGTAGAAATATCCCTGAGAATTTCAAATGAATCCCTCAAACGGTTTGACTGGGAACCTGTAGTCAAGCCTTGACAGACAAGATTTTAGGACGGAAAATCCAAAATGGCCACCTTAACATTTACCCAGAATGCCGAAAAACTAATCAGTTCTAAACTTTCATAGGTAGAAACATCCCTGAGAATTTCAAATGAATTCCTCAAACGGTTTGGCTGGAAACCTGTAGACAAGATTATTCGGGAGGGCCCCCCGCCCGCCCAACTGCCCAAAACTGATTACAATATAGCACCCGAGGGTGCGATAAAAACCGTAAACCGACCGAACCAAGATAATTATGAAACCGTTAGAGCCCTAATAATTAAGCAGTGATATCTCCTATAGCAAAGGAGATAAACTATCAAATTATATATCACTACACTCCCAATAGAATGAATTGTCATCAGGCAATAACCAGAACAACGGCAACGCCAAAGCGTAGCGAATCCCATCGAACAGAAATGGCTGGCATTTTTACAAATGATTAGCAAATATCATAAAACAACACACCAGAAAGGCCACCATTTTCAAAATGGTTGCTCACTAGCCAAGTTGTCATCAGAAGAAATAATATGCTTTTAAGTAGCCACCTCTAAAATTTTTGAAAAATCATACAAGTACTTGTAAAATAACACACATAAAAATGGTGGCCATTTTTCGAAATGGCCGACTACTCCCCAAAGTTTAATTAGACAATGTGCCATGCTTAAAGCATTCACATATCAAATATGAACAAAATCGCTCCACTACTTTTCGAGTTATAGTAAAATACGTTAAAATGGCGGCCATTTTTCAAAATGGCCACCTTCTACCAAAAGTGTCATTAGAAATAGACAGTGTGCCATGCTTATTGTATTCACATACCAAATATGAACAAAATCGCTCTACTACTTTTCGAGTTATAGTAAAATACGTTAGAATGGCGGCCATTTTTCAAATTTTTTTTCAAAATGGCCGATTCTACCAAAAGTGTCATAGGACAGTGTGCCATGCTTATAGTATTCACATACCAAATATGAACAAAATCGCTCCACTACTTTTCTAGTTAAAATGGCGGCCATTTTTCAATTTTTTTTAAAATGGCCACCTTCTACCCAAAGTGTCAAAGGACAGTGTGCCATGCTTATAGTATTCACATACCAAATATGAACAAAATCGCTCCACTACTTTTCGAGTTATAGCAAAATACGTTAAAATGGCAGCCATTTTTCAAATTTTTTTTCAAAATGGCCGCCTTCTACCAAAAGTGTCATAGGACAGTGTGCCATGCTTATAGTATTCACATACCAAATATGAACAAAATCGCTCCACTACTTTTCGAGTATAGTAAAATACGTTAAAATGGCGGCCATTTTTCAATTTTTATTCAAAATGGCCGCCTTCTACCAAAAGTGTCTTTAGACAGTGTGCAATGCTTATAATATTCACATACCAAATATGAACAAAATCGCTCCACTATTTTTTGAGTTACAGCAAAAATCGTAAAATGACGAGTAAAGGCCGCCATTTTTCAAGATGGCTGCCATGTGCTTCTTTAATATCTACATTTGTAGCATTATTAATGTCCTTTATAATTTTTTTACATTTAAAACATATTGCTATTACAGTTTTACATATTGCACCTAAATTACTGTAAAATCGGCACTAAAATGGCCACCATTTTGAAATGAGCGGCCATTTTGAAAATCGGCTTTCGAGCAGAATTTCTACCCCCATAGGGTATATGTGTACAAAATATGAACAAAATTGGGCCAACGGTATTTGAGTTATTGCCCGGACGGACGGACGGACAGACGTACGTACGTACGTACGGACGGACGGACGGACGGACGGAGGCGTTCCCTATATCCCTCCGAACTTCGTTCGATGGGATAATAATTATTTGGTAAAATAAGGACATTGAGACGTATGGCCACTTTTCACCAGGGGGGTACCCCCCCTTTACTCTTGGGTTAAAATGTGAGAAATGAAACTACCAGACCAGACCGGACCAGACACAGATGGAATTATGGACTGGCTACTTGATAAAACTCTTCAGTTTGAACTCTACATCACCGGATTTGTCCCATGGTCTGACGCTTAAGAAAAGCACTGAGTGTGGAATATGAATAGGGGTATCCATATTTTCGAATCATAATACAATCTACCAGCATAGCTGTATTCAACTAATATGATGCATTGATTTAATAATTATATACAACAGGGTTATACTATATGCTGGTAGATTTCATATCACCTATTGATCTCTTGAAATACAATCTTGATGAGCTATATACATGATATACCCCAGGGGAGGATTAATTGCTATAATATACAAGGGGTCCTAAAGCATAACATATAGGAGGCCAAGCAAAAGAAGATGAAATGTATAAATCCATTTATGGCCACAGCTTGTTTTGAGGGATGGCGAGGCAATCTCATCAAACTTTTATCGAAAAATATTCTATGATATTTTATCAATTAAAACTGTTTTCTGAAGTCCAAAGCTGAAGTTTTTTGCCAACTTTAGAAGCTGACTTTTTGTCTTTGTATATGGATTTTGTAACATTGTGCTTTTTAAGAGCAGTAGTTTACCTGTAGAGTCAGGATTAGATTGTGGGTGGAGGTTTACATGAGAATCCCCATCAATTTCTGCACTCACTAATGCTACAGTACAGCTACTCAGCCCAGGGTCTAAACACACAGCTGGAAAGTGGAAATTTAATCAGAATAAATTCAATTTCACCCTTGTTTAAAGGGACAAAATTATAGGAACCAGAATTTCACATTAACTGTATTACTACATTATTATTAGGATTCTAGCAATTGCTTGAGCACTGAAGCAATTAGGCACGATACAAGCGTATCGATACTCACCTTGAATATCAGTTAAAATCCTGTATCGATTTTAAACTCCAAAACAGCAAAATCATGTTCAAGAGCAAATATTGTTGCTCATATCGAAATTGAAGATAATGTATCGTGGGACCCATAAAAGAGTTCAAGAACAAGCACTTACATTCACCAATGAATAGTTATACTTAAATTTTAACCAGTGTACAAGCACCAGCACAACTGTCGCCAGTATGAAATAAATTATATAGATAAATCTTCTCAAGTTCACATGGTGTATATAATATCTATGTTAGATAAAAAATAATCAGTGTGGCTTAATGAATAAGAGTTGATGAATAAAATTTATGAAACTGCATAACAAATATAAAACTCATCTGGATATAATAGGGTGAACTTTTACATACAATATCTTAAATACTCTTGTAGGAATCTAGCTACTGTAGATACACTTACTTTGGCTCCCGTTTTAATATGACGGATTGGCAGATTCAGAAAATCCGCCAAATTAAGAATCCATCAAATTTCAGTTTGGAATTTTTGTCCAATGCACTTCAGAAATTAAACTCCAGGGGCCCCTTTTCCTGACAATATGTCATCAATTCTACATTATTCCAAAAGAAATACAGAAAATATTTACCTGTCCTAATGACATAAACATCTACAAAAATTAAAGAGCCACCAATATTTAGAATTGAGCAAATCCGTCAAATTGAGTAGCATCAAAATAAGTGTATCTATGTAGTATAATTGCACTTAAATAGCTATTTACATGTTTGTTTAACAGCTCCTACGAGATCAAAGATGAGTGAAATTGATATTGAACATAGTTCAAATCAAGAGTCTAGTTCGCAGACTTTTTATGATTGACAAAATCTAAGACCTCGTCCTCTGATATTGTTTCAAGTCAATGATGACAAAAGAATATGCACATATTCTTTACAATTGTTAATCATAAGAATTACAAACCACTATAATTTTTAGAAAAGCAAGGGTTTATGAATACTGTACTCCTGGTAATTTTTGCATGGTATTATATTTTGCAGATTAACAAGTTGTGGAAAATTAATAAAAGAAATTTGAAAAATAAGCTGCAAAAATTGATAATTGCAAAATTAAAAAAAAAATGAAATTTAGTAAAAATTAAGTAGGAAAAGATCAAGGAAATCAAAAGCCTTGACTGATGTAGCTTTAAAAACTTGGTCCATTATCATCATCCTCATTCGAGTCATGATGCATGCCAACTTTATGTTTATGTTAATTTAACATAGTTTTGTCTATATTTCAAATGTCACTTTATGATACCGGATTTTCTCGCATATACGCCCCCCTAAATTTAGGCCCATGGGCCAAAAATCGAATGTAGTACGCTTATACGCCCATGGGCCTATAACAATGGCTATTTATTTATTATTTCAATAAATTCAAGAGTATTTTGTCACTGGCAGATCGTTCTGTCTTTACTTTGTTTCAACATTAAGTTCAACGATGTGCTGTAAGTGGCAGTGGTGGATCGTTCTGTTGTTACTTTGTTTCAACATTAAGTCCAAGGTTGTAGGACTACAACAGTAGGTACGGTAGTCTTTGAGCTCTTCTCACCTTTACGCCCACTGGGCCAAAAATTGAAAGTAGTACACTTATACGCCCATGCCGAAAAATAAGAGGTAAAATAACAGACAGAATTACCCCTTCTTTCAGTTATACGCCCAGGGCTAATATGCGAGAAAATCCGGTAACAAGAAGGTTATTTTAAATTTGAGTGTGATTCAGGTCATGACGGTGATCATCAGCACAGAAGTTATTGATGATAGCCCAGGCACACTCAATAGATTAGAATCCAAAGTGATATTTGGTTGTGAACAATTTCACATTCAGGAATGGCATAACCTGGACTTATAATTTCATTGGACAGCTTACTATATGGATGTATCCTTCTCGATAACAGGATGCTAGATGTAGCAGTGTATCAGAATCTCTTTCAATCTCTTTTCATTCAAATTAATCCACTAGAACCATATACATATTATCGGTAACTTTACATATGCTCTTACTGTCACCATTTCATCCAGATATCCATATTCTGAACGATAGTACTATGTATCTTTGGCATACAGCTTTAGATTTTATTGCTCGAGTCTATGGTTTTTGTTGTGTCATTGGCGAGCTAGTCTTTTGGAATATGTACCGTAATAATCATTGTTTATTGGATCCAGCACCATCACCACCAGTGGTCCATATATTTAAAACTGCATATCCAGGATTGCCAAGATTGCCATGTACATGTACGTAATGGGAATAAAACTTGTTTTCAGAGGTTGAGATGATTCATCAGTTGAGAAATCCTGGAATGGTAAAATGTATATTATGTATATAATTTTGAAGGAAATGTTTTTGTTTTTTTTACAGAATTCAAATTTATTTCTAATAATCAATACAATAGAATACATATGAACAATTTGCCATTGTTGATAAGTCAACATTATCGGCCATTGGAACAATGTTAATAAAATAAAAATTTATATTCAGAAATACACAAAGTAAAACGATCTATAAAAACTCCACAGTATTTATGTTTCTATATGATATTCATGTTCTTATAAAAAATGAGTGAAAAGTTTATATCTAGTCTTTTGGATACAAACCTTGTGATACAAACAACTGCACTTACATGTAGGCCTATTTGTACTGAATACTGTACACTGATGAATTGGCAAGGTTGGTGCGGAGTCACTTTCATTTGCTGATTTTCCAGTAGATGATTTTCAAACTGCATAGCCAGGATTGCCAAGTTTTCAGAGGGCGAGATGATGCATTGTTGGAGAAATCCTGGAATTGGAAAATGAATTTATTATACACCATTCTACATGTACATGATGCATATTTCAAACGAGACGTATAAGGGATGTATAAGTCCAATGATCTGAAAGCTCAATGACTTAAACGTGTATTCTCAAATTAGAATATCTAGCTTCCCATCACATCCAATGAACAAGACATGAACATTTCTCAATTTGTGATAAGATCAAAAAATCTGAAAAAACATTAATACATGACAGTAGATATATTGATCAATTGTTTACTAGCCAGCTGTTATTTCATTTATGTAAAAACTATTGCTTTTATCAATACAATTTATTGGTCTGAGACCACTTTTACTAAGAACAAGGCCAAGTGAAATTAGCTGATCTGGTAATATCAGATCATATTAATTAATTTGATAATTATCAAAATAATAGTGTATAGGAATAATTTCATTTTTATTAAAACTATCGCTTTTATTGCTATATGTTAGAAAACTTCAGGACTGATCTGAATTAGTTTTTCTGATTATATCAGATAATATTGATGATAGCGCTAAATTTGATAAATATCAAATTCATCAATAATATCTGATAATGTTAATTTCATATGTGCTCTGTAGGTTATTCCATACACCAAATTTATTGATAATTGATGATTATCAAATTTATCGACTAATTTATCACTACTAGAATTTATCGCTATTATTGATAAAAGTGAGTTTCTGCACCTAAATGGAACTGCCTGTATATTGGTATGAGTAATGTATATTTTGAAAAAAGTAAATGTCACACTCCGATGACTGACATGAAAAACAAGTCTTGCATAAACCCCTGGTCTTTTCCCAATCAGTCATTTTTAAATTGATATGTAGACCAATATTTCCATACAGTGTCAAGGGTTCAAAGGAAGACTGAAATATTGTTATGCAATTAATTCAATATGGGATAATCATATCATTATATATCTCGTATTAATATTTTATTGTATTTTATTTACCAATTTACCTCAGTGTAAAGCTGCTTGTGTCTGCTTGAGACCCGGGCTTGAGATTGGATTTTCAGCAAAAATCAAACAAATTGTTCCATCAAACTAGTCTTCGTTATCGTCCATAAATAAATCAGGCATCTGTCAGATGTACTTGGAACGGCTTATTGATAGTAAGTATCGATCTATCAACTCAAATACGGCAAGATTCATCGTTAAATAGACAGAACAACGACGAAATGTACAGAAAACTGAAATTTCATGTTGACCGGAAATTGTTGAAAATCTCTACCGGATTACGTTACAAGCGACGTCCTATTGGTCAATTCACATTGGCGCTAACGTAGCCATCTTTAAAACTCCAAATTTTGTAAATAGTCAAATGCGGTAAGTAATTATTAAAAATTAGGGCTATAAATCGAAAATGTGCTCGCATAAAATCATTTTCTGGTATCTCTAGTATTGCCTCGAACGCTTTTTGCGTCAATTCGTGCTAAATTGAAGATTTGTTTGTATGAATGCGGGAAACAAAAAATTCATCGAAATTAACAGTTTTCCAGCGTTCATTTCTTTATTAATGATCCGATTTTAACGATCATACTCATTTTTGTGGGGAAGGATATGCTTAATCTCTATGGAAAAAATCAGGTCAATCCATGCGCTAGATCAAAAGATCCTGCGAGCGAAGTGCATTTTACACTTACTCTGTTAACGTACAGACGCCGGGGGTCATTTCCAAAAATTTCTAGTTTGTTATATAAAACTTCCTAAACTTGTTTATATGATCGAATATGAATATTTATTGATCAGTGGCAATAAAATAAGACCCAAAAGTACAAAAACCTGAATAACTAATCACAGACCTCTAGTAATTACCATGTACAAAATCAATGCAGTCATTCCAGGTTTTGGGTTTTAGGTACTTAAGTAAACAATATCATGATGAACTAGCAACTAACAACATGAAGGATTTTACAATATTACCTGGTGATATATGTTTAATATCAGCATGGTAACCAGTTTCTTCCTTTAGCTCTCTGACAGCAGTCTCTTTAGGGTCCTCTCCTGAATCTATCAGACCTGAAACCCAAATTAGTACAGTAAACAATCGCTGGCCCTTCCAGAGGTCAGTACTGTCAACCCCCAAAGATTTTCTCGCGGGACAGATTTTTTAGACCCAGTGCCCAAAATTCGCGGGATTTTGCGGGACATCTACTTAATTCGCAGGATTTCGCGGGACATTTAAGGGATTTGCGTGATTGCGCTTATAGGCCAATTTTTTTTTATCAAATTCGCCGGATTTCGCGGGACCATTCGAGGGACAAACACCCTAATTGCGGGACAGTTAACAGGTTTACCAGCAAAAACTTCATAGAGGGACAGATTTTCTAGAAAAAGTGCCCTAAATTTGCGGGATTTCGCGGGACATCCACCTAAATTTGCAGGATGTCCCGGGACATTCAAGGGATTTACGTGATTTGGACTAATGTAAAAGCGTGTAAAAGTACTTAAATCAAACTTTCAGATACTGATTAATCAAATATAATGCACCGTTACATTGTAACTTAAATAAACGTCAACATAACTTCACAAAATACGCATAGAAATATTATTAAACTTTATTGTAATTTATCAAAAACAAAAACCATGCTTCAGGTGTGAGTATCGTAATCTAACAAGAAATTCAAAAATTTGGAACAATACTTTGCACTTCTGGCGTCGTGACCAACTATATATGAAACGCTTATCCCCATAATGTTATATATCAAAATGTACCTTTTCATATACTAGGCATGGGCTTTCAATTGAAAGCCCATAATGTTATATATCAAAATGTACATATTCATATACTGTAGGCATGGGCTTTCAATTGAAAGCCCATGGTATAGGGGTTCGATTAATCTACATCAAATTATAGGGAATGAGGTTACTTTTCTAGATAGGGTTTGTAGAAAAACCGGGTACCGGGTAGTAAATCCTCAATGCTGGGTTCAAACTTGGTACCCGGTCGAAAAAACCGGGTACCAAAAAACGAGATATACGAATATACAACATAATTAGATCATTAGAAAACGTGTAAGATTTGTTTTGAATTTACAAAAATGTATGTAACTTCCTTCAAAATTGAGCTAGAAGCTTCAAATAAAAAGCATTTTAAGCCTCTTTTCTTCCTCTATCATCATGGTCATATTTCCATTGGTAATGAAGGGGGAGGGGGGGGGTGCGATCGCACCATCACACCCGCTCCTGGCTACGCCAATGACATTGTAAGACGATTTGAATAACAAGGCAAATCAATTTTACTCTATCTTCAATAGTTCTTATGTTGGTACGTGAATTGTTTTGATTATGATTTAAATCTGTAAATTGCTATCGTTGCTTTAGCAGAGAGGTGACGTGTGTTAATTTACATGATGCAATGTGTAAGATTTTGATTATTAATCATAATTTAAGTTATCCCAACTGTCGACAAAATGTCCACTGAATTGTCCACTAAATTGTTATGTCTTACAATGTCATAGGCGTAGCCAGGAGAGGGTGCGATGGTGCGATCGCACCCCCCCCCCCCCCCCATAACCAATGAAAATATGGTCATGACGATAGAGGAAGAAAAGAGCCTTAAAATATGCTTTTTATTTGAAGCTTCTAGCTCAATTTTGAAGGATGTTACATACATTTTTGTAAATTCAAAACAAATCTTACACGTTTTCTGATAATCTAATTATGTTATACTCGTATATTCGTATTTTTTGTTTTTACCAAGTTTGAACCCAGCATGGAGGATTTACTACCCGGTACCCGGTTTTTTCTACAAACCCTTTCTAGATATCAGCGTCCATTTATTGTAACTCGCGTTTGCTAACATTTGTTCAGTTCTGAGATGAAGGCCACACGGATAGTAAAAAGGCCAACGTTGGAACTATTTGTGACCTACATCCCTATTGTCGTAATTAAAATGAAAGTTGGATCCTTCCTCTTTATTTTGATACCAAACAACAGCATGCTAGGTACTTAAAATTAGGTAAACTTTACTCCTCAAAAGTGCAAAAACTTAGCTTCTTATAAGATAAGATAATCACAATATAGGGGATTGCAACAATTTCGGAAATTCGCGGAGGTCGAAAGCCACATTTGCTGGACTTTGCGGGACATTGCGGGACACGCGAATTAGCCTAATTTTGATCGAATTCGCGGGATAATCCCGCCATTCGCGGGACACTTGACAGCTCTGAGAGGTGGACTAGGGTAACTCGAGTCTCTAGCTTACAGCTAGATGTAACTTGTATGTAATCTAGAAAAAAAAGCGTCACACACACCCAAAACTCCTTTTTAATAATTCTTATAAATATTTATAAGAACATTAATTGTATTTACGTTGAAACGTTGCCTGTCTGGATTAAGATATTTCAAAATTTCTTTTCGGAAAGAACCTCAAACTCAACAGATCCGCCATTTATGCAGCTCACTCAGCCGAAAAATGGAGGCCATTTTGAAATGAAATTCCACCTAGCCTAGCTAAACCAGAACAACTGCAACACCAAAGCGTAGCGAATCCCATCAAACAGAAATGGCTGACATTTTTACAAACGAAATATATAGCAAATATCATACAATAACACACATAAGAAAGGCCACCATTTTCAAAATGGTTGCTCACAAGCCAAGTTGTCATCAGAAGAAGTAATATGCTTTTAAGTAGCCACATATAAAATTTCTAAAAGTCGCACACACGTACATGTAAATGGTGGCCATTTTTTGCAATCCTTACTGTATTAGTATTCACATTCACGTACTTGTCGATTTTTCAAAATGGCCAAGTACTCCCCAAAGTTTTATTAGACAATGTGCCATGCTTAAAGTATTCACATATCAAATATGAACAAAATCGCTCCAATACTTTTTGAGTTACAGTATACAATTGTTGACCTCTCCAGAGGTCAACCGGCAAAATTGTATACCGAGACTGTAAACCGAGAAACTACTGTTGACAGAGACCGAAGGTCGAGGTCAACAGTAGTTTCAAGGTTTACAGTCGAGGTATATGATTTTGACGGTTGACCGAATGGAGAGGTCTACAATTGTTTTGTCAGTCCGAAGAAACTAATAATACACATATAGACGACAATCATCAATCGACATGGCTTCATGTCACAATCTTTTCTCTCTATATTCGGCACATCACGGCGTACTCACTAGTAAATAGTTAATTTTACGTTTCTATTTGTAATTTTGCTATACTTATCGTCTAGTAAAGTCAAAAATATCACTTTCATCAACGTTTACAAAAAGTTTTTTTCTGTAAACATTATGACGTCATATTCCCCATAATTCACAAGTGTAGTACAGTAACATACGCGGTCAATAATATGATATTCCATGATGCACAGGTGGGGTACAGGCAAAAATGTTGACCGCTAATTGACCAATCAGATACGAGTATTTACACTGAGGTACTAACAATAAAAAATGTTAAACACGTAAAAATGGTGGCCATTTTTCAAAATGGCCGCATACTACCCAAAATGTTATTAGACATTGTGCCATGCTAAAAGAATTCACACACCAAATATGAACAAAATCACTCCACCACTTTTCAAGTTACAGCAAAAATCGTAAAATGACGTGCAAAGACAGCCATTTTTCAAGATGGCTGCCATGCATTTCTTCTATATTTACATTTCTAGCTTAATCAATGTCATATGTTTTACTCATATCAGAAAATCCCACATCGAAAAACTTGAAAACCTGTGTAGTAATTTTAAAAACATGAATGACCACCAAAAGACAATTTTTCTATTGACGACTGAGGGGATCATATTAAAAGAATCTGCTAACATGATAAATTATCTAATGATTGGTAGAGACGGGATTCTTATATCAAAGTAACATTTTATATGTCATTTGAAGAATGTAATCCTATTTTCTTTACTTTGTTGCTATATTTACTGTTATTGAAAATTGTATATCGGATGTACGTTTGGCCCTAAAGGGGCATCAGTACTAATAAATCCTATTATTGTATAACTTTTTTACATTTAAAACATATTGCTATTACAGTTTTATATTCAGAACCTAAATTACTGTGAAATCGGCACTAAAATGGCCGCCATTTTTAAATGAGCGGCAATTTTGAAAATCATTTTTCGAGCAGAACTTCTACCCCCATTGGCCAATGGGTATATGTGCAAAATATGAACAAAATCGGGCCAACGGTATTTGAGTTATTGCCCGGACGGACGGACAGTCGCGTTCCCTATATCCCTCCGAACTTTGTTCGATGGGATAATTAAAATATATACTAGAAAAACAGCAACTCCACGGAGTAGCAAATCCCACCGAACAAAACATATTATGCTTATTATAGCTAGTGTAAATGTTGAAATGTTTGTGCACTTTGAGAGAGAAGCATGAAATTTGGCACAAAGTTAGTTTATACCATTGTGAACTCGGCATCATCATATAAAATTTGAACCAAATCTGTTCACTGGTATATGAGTTATCAAAGATAACGTTTTTTACGAATATGGGCCGCCATCTTGAAATTCAGCCGCCATCTTGAAAATTATTTCTTGAACAGAGCTTCTGTGTCCCTAGGCATAATCATATAAAATTTCAATCAAATCTGTTCACTGGTATTTGAGTTATCAAAGATTACGTTTTTTTACGAAAAATTGCCGCCACTTTGAAATTAAGCGGCCATCTTGAAAATGTTTTGTCGAACATAGCTACTGTGTCCCTAATAATCATCATATAAAATTTGAACCAAATCCGTTCACTGGTATTTGAGTTATCAAAGATTACATATTTTTATGAAAAATGGCCGCCACTTTGAAATTAAGCGGCCATCTTGAAAATCTCTTTTTGTGCGAAACTCCTTTGTCCCTAGGCAACTGCATATAAAATTTGAACCAAATCCGTTCACTGGTATATGAGTTATCAAAGATTACGTTTTTTAAGGATTTGGACCGCCATCTTGAAATTCAGCCGCCATCTTGACAATTATTTCTTGAACAGAGCTACTGTGTCCCTAGGCATAATAATATAAAATTTCAACCAAATCTGTTCACTGGTATTTGAGTTATCAAAGATTACGTTTTTTACGAAAAATTGCCGCCATTTTGAAATTAAGCGGCCATCTTGAAAATGTTTTGTCGAACATAGCTACTGTGTCCCTAAGCATCATCATATAAAATTTGAACCAAATCCGTTCACTGGTATTTGAGTTATCAAAGATTACATATTTTTACGAAAAATGGCCGCCACTTTGAAATTAAGCGGCCATCTTGAAAATCTCTTTTTGTGCGAAACTCCTTTGTCCCTAGGCATCAGCATATAAAATTTGAACCAAATCCATTCACTGGTATATGAGTTATCAAAGATTACGTTTTTTAAGGAATTTGGGCCGCCATCTTGAAATTCAGCCGCCATCTTGAAAATTATTTCTTTAACAGAGCTACTGTGTCCCTAGGCATAATCATATAAAATTTCAACCAAATCTGTTCACTGGTATTTGAGTTATCAAAGATTACGTTTTTTACGAAAAATTGCCGCCATTTTGAAATTAAGCGGCCATCTTGAAAATGTTTTGTCGAACATAGCTACTGTGTCCCTAAGCATCATCATATAAAATTTGAACCAAATCCGTTCACTGGTATATGAGTTATCAAAGATTACATATTTTTACGAAAAATGGCCGCCATTTTAAAATTAAGCGGCCATCTTGAAAATCTCTTTTTGTGCAAAACTCCTTTGTCCCTAGGCATCAGCATATAAAATTTGAACCAAATCCGCAAACTAGTATTTGAGTTATTAAAGATTACATTTTTTACGAAAAATGGCGGCCATTTTGAATTCAGTGGCCATATTGAAAATTCCTTCTCGAGCAGAGGTCCTACACCCATAAGGCATAAGCCTATAAAATTTGAATCAAATCCGTGATTCGGTATTTGAGTTATCGCCCGGACAAACAGACGGACGGACGGACGAACGGACGGACAGACGGACGGACAGCTTTCCTATATCCCTCTCGAACTTCGTTCGGTGGGATAATAACAATCGATTAGGACGGGGATATGAGCGGATATTCTGCAAATGTATGCATAAAGGTATATTTCACATAATCATGCCATTACAACTGTGCGTGTGTCACCATGATTTACAAATATTGAATATCAGGGCGGCTGTAAACAGTCACTCAAAGCCGGAATATAAGGCTTTGGATCTAAGTAAGACTAGGGATAAATATGTACCTCAGATCATAATCCAATCAGAATGGAGAGATAACATTTACATACATAGAGTAGTCATCTTGAATGAAATACATGCCCTCCCCCCATATGTCTTTAAACCACTACATCTATATACTTAACTCCTGGTCTATTTCCCATACCATCCTTATCTATACCTCCACAAGTTCAAAGCAGAGAGCAGGTTTCGTTACACAAGGATCTGATACAAGATCATACCTGCATTAAACAATGTTAAAACAGCAACAAGTAATTAACCAGCTAGAGCCATCTTGAACAACATGATCTTGGCAAGTAACAAAGTCATTTTGAAGAGACTTGACCTCCTATGCTAATGATATTCAACTGTGCTTTAAGTCATGGCAAGACAATACATGTTTAACCCTATGAGAGAGCCAAAAAGCTCCATATGGGCCAAAAATACCCATGTACAAAAAGTCAAGTTACAAGAAAATACAAAGTATCATTGTGACTTTGCCTTTATTTCCAGGATTGTTCAATATCAATTTTTAATTGGCTTTGTATACAGTCTTTGAAGGGTTCAATTTTTAAAATATTAAGATTATTCAATCTCCATCTGTGCTGAATTGTAGATGCATTAATGCACTCGGACTACATGTATGTCTTATAGACATTTATTTGCTAGGGAATTCCAGGAAGTCATCTAAGAAGTGTCACTTTGTTGCCACATTTAGATTGCATCACAGCCTTGTCTTTAAGAGTGTACTAATCTCCCATCATTCAATTGGGACCAGATAGCGAATCATCATCAACAGTTAAGCAAACAATTACAATGTTGTGTGTTGGGCTGAATTTATGATCCCTGAGACTAAAATTATTGTTACTCATGCTGTAATGAAATGAAACACAGAAATCTATCTAGCAAATCCCAAACATATTTAAAACTAATTTAAATTAGCATAGATTATTAATCTTTTAAAAAAAATTGAACCCTTCAAAGACTCTATCATGACCCATGTACTTGGGAATGAGGTACAAGATTTTTTATACAAAGCCTTTTTAATTTATACAAGACTCATACTAATTTACATATTATTCAGTCACAAAGCAATATTTGTTATAGGACTGTACAAGTTCCATGTGGTTTCTAATTATAAGGTATGCATGTATGGAGCACAAATTGTAGGCATCAAATAAAATCATAAATTGACTTGTACAGAATCATCTCAATAATGTTCCAAGATGGGACGGGAATGGGGGGGGGGGGGGGGGGGGGCTAGACAAAACATTGACACTAAAATCAGATATCAGCCAAATTTATTTATTACACAGCTCTGTTCATGTGCAATTTAAATAATGCAGATATACATATATATATTATATTTAAAATCACAAATTTGGCACTTGGTTGTGTATTTTAGACTTCATTGGATACTGTCTGGCCAAAAAGAAAAAGGTCTGGCAAGTCAGTTGACCACTTACGGAGACAGCAGCCTTTAGAGCCAAACAGCAGCCAATCACGTCTCAGCGTTTGTCTTTGTGCCTATGCAGTTATTGAATTACTATTTTTAGCAGAGATTTTGAAAATAATGTTTCAAAGCTCAATGGATTTCAATATATTACTTTAACTTTTTTGGACATCTCTTGTCTTAGTCCCATTTTCCGTTGTTTTTTGATTAGCTAATTTTCCAAATATCTAAAGAAAAGATTGTTGAAATAATACTTTTGCCATGTTTCTCTGAGTTGGCAATATTTCCATGCATTATTCAATACAAATAGTCATGTACTGGTCAATAAACGCCATCATATACCTCTGTGATCACCAACTTATTGTGGAATTTCTCATGTAAGACCATGTCTTATGTATGATACAATAATTATTACACCCAACTCCCCATTTCCAATTACATAATAATTATCATTAAGTGGCAAACCTTGCATATAGATACAGCAGAACCAATCCCATGAGCATGTGCCTATAATCTATCAGAGCATGGCCATTCAAAGCAACATAACAATATGCCATATAAGCAAATCAAACCAAAATATTCCGCAACATAAATATTATAAAAGAAGCGTGTAGTTTTAATAAAAGCAGAAGCGATTTCAACCATATATAGCACTAGAAAAATCACGGAAGTCTAATAAAATAACCGTGAATTCTACCAGTGCCATTAAAGGTCAAAACAACATAAATAAGCACACTTAAGCACATGTAAGCAAGCCATACACCTTCCTGGGAGATCACCATTTACGACAGAAAAAACTGTGGCAAAATAAGTTTTATGATTTAACTCCACAAATCATCTTTCTGCCCTTCTCTGGTAGTTCTGAACTTGTTCCTGATAGCTCATTGCAAATTTCTAATTGTCTGTTGCATGTTTGTTGCACTATTTTGTGTTTTGTGTCTTTATCATTTTTCATGTAATAGTATGGAAATCAACTGCTCATTCAAACTTCTAGTCCTCGTCTTCTCCTAATCTGGATTCAAACTGATTGCTTTTCCAACTGTTAAACAGTAACTGTATATTATATTAAGTCCTCGCCAAGTTAGTTACATAATCATCAGGTAAGTATATACATGTACCAGTTAGCTGGCAACTTTGCAATTATCACAAGATGAAACCCAGTCCCTTCTATGTATGAATATTTTACACATCATTGGAAAGCTGTGTGAGACCCAAAAATTACAATTTTAATTGGTCTATTTTGCTCAGATGACCTGACAGAGACTGCTGGGAGATTTATTTCCAGTGGGTTATGAAGTTCTCAACTGTGATCTAAAGCCTAAGCCAAGCCAGAAATGCTGTGCACAAATTATATGGTGGATTAATAATGCTAAACCAAATGTCAAACTGGCATACTTTTTAAAATCAGGCTTTTACTCCTAAAGAAGGATCCATTCTCAACTGTCCGGCATTTCTATATACATGGAATTCAAAATGTTATGTTACGTTTAAAAGTTGAAATATAACAAATTCTAGACTTTTCAAATATAAAATCGTCTTAAGATAATATGAAAGATGCAGTCAACTGCAAAATTAGTATAAAAGCAAAGCAAATCTGATGTGAAAACATTTCTGGAATCAATTCAGATCCAGAGATTATATTTGGCCTAAACTATTCTGTAGCAATTTTAAAGTCCAAAACATGCTGGCTCTCAACTCATAAGCATAGCATACAGCTATTGTTGAACTAGTCTGAACTATGTTCAGACTGAAATACAAATATTTGATACTTTGCCACATTTCAAGTGGTTATCAGAGTTAACCACATAAGTTTTGGAAGAAACGTATGTTCATGTAGGAAATTTCCATCTTGTTTTAATACTTCTTTTTAGTTCATGAATTAGCAAAATACAATATTTTACAAATAGAGTTCACCTTTGCACAAAACTTTTAGTGATAAAAATGGAATGGTTTTACTGTTCATGGTTATCCCATGCAATTTCTTTCTGGAACTTTCTTGTTTTACAGCATTTCCATATGATTTAGAGTATCAACCACATGCCTTCTTACTTCATTTTATGTATATTCCACTCTATTTCCCTTCATTTTTCATTTCAAATCTTGATTCCAAAACATTTTAGCTACAAAATTTAATACCTGCTGGAAACTCTATTGTATATGTCTTCATGGGGGGTCTGTACTGCTTCACTAGTACTATGCAATCATATTTAAGTGTACGTTTCAATGTTGCCATGACAACCACAGCTGAAAATAATGTAATAATAATCATCATGGATTTCAATAATCAGGAATCATACCAACATTGTGATGGTATTCTAATTACTATATGTAATTCAGTATCATTTTGGCATATTCCATAATGACTTTTTTTCAATTTAAATGAAACAAGACACAGTGAAAATTATTATATACCTAATATGTAACACTAATCTTGATTGGTCAATACATAGTCAAATGTCAAAAGAAATACTATTCGTCACTGCGCACCCTTTTGAACCTTTTGAAATTTGAACCAAAGCCATTGATTTAATTGAAATTCAGCTGTCATCTTTAAAATTTCCTCTAGACCAAATTTTTAACCAAATCCACCCACTAATATTTGAGTTAACAAACAAATATGGCAGCTATTTTGAAATTTAACAGCCATCTTCGAAATTCCTTCTTGAGCAGAGCTTGTTTGTGCCTAGACATCAACATATATTTTCGTTCATTGATATTTGATATCAAATATTGTGTCTTTTATGAAAAATGGTGGCCATTTTGAAATTCAGTAGCCATCTTGAAAATGTCTTCTTTAGCAGAGCTCCTTTTGTCCCTTGGCACCAGCACATAAAATTTGAACTAAATCCGTCAATTGCCATTTGAGTAATCAAAGATTACATTCTTTTTTTAAAAGTTAACCACCATCTTGAAAATTCTTTAATGACCAAAGCTCCTATGTCCCTAGGCATCAGCATATGAAATTTGAATCAAATCCACTCACTGGTATTTAAGTTATCAAAGAATCATTTTTTATGAAAAATGGTGGCCATTTTGAAATTCAGCAGCAATCTTGAAAATTCTTTCTCTTAACAGAGCTACTGTGTCCCTAGGCATCAGCATATAAAATTTGAACCAAACCCATTCACTGGTATTTGAGTTATTAAAGAATACTATTTTTATGAAAAAAGGAGGCCATTTTGAAATTCAGCAGCAATCTTGAAAATTCTTTCTCTAACAGAGCTACTGTGTCCCTAGGCATCAGCATATAACATTTGAACCAAATCCATTCACTGGTATTTCATTTATTAAAGAATTTGTTTTTTTTATGAAAAATGGAGGCCATTTTGAATTTAAGCTGCCATCAGGAAAACTTAGGCATCAGTATATAAAATCTAAACCAGATCTATTCACTGATATTTGAGTTATAAAAGATTATGTGTTTTACGAAAAATGGTGGCTATTTTGACACTCAGCAGCCATCTTGAAATTAGACATTTGTCTTCTTGAGCAAAGCTCCAGCAGCATATAAAATTTGAATAAAGTTTGTCAACTAGTATTTGAGTTATCAAAGATGACACTTTTTACGAAAAGTGGTTGCCATTTTGAATTGAGCAGCCATCTTGAAAATACCTTCTCGAGCAGAGAATCAGATCTTGGCCCTGGTATGCTCTAGACCTGTTGAAATTTCAAGTTTGACAGTTAGCCTTCTCTGGAATTTTAGAAGATTTATGTGGCCTCTACCTGCAGCACAAGACAAAACAAGACACAGAGTGAACAGGATCACACCCTTGATTAGAATAGAGCTTTAGGGATGGAAAATCAAAAATGCCTACCCTAACATTTACCCAGACTGCCTAAAAACACATCAGTTCTAAACTTTCATAAGTAGATATATCCCAAAAATTTTAGATGAATGCATGAAATGGTTTGGCTGGAAGCCTAGATAGATGCCAACAAACAAGATTTAGAAAATCCAAAATGGCTGCCTTAATGTTTTCCCAGTATGACCCGAAAATTTATCAATTCTAAACTTTCATAAGTAGAAACATCCATGAAAAAAGATTTATCAGGACGTCTGTCAAATTGATCACAATATAGCATCCAAGGGTACAATAAAAAACATAGCGCCTTTCAAAGCGTAATAAAAATTATATACATACAAGATAATTAAATATATATCAATATGGTGTATAATGAAGCTTACCATCCAAAGCACCAGACCCTCTTGTTGTCCTGGAAACTGCCTCCCATTCTCTGGAAACAATAAAAACTCTTTACTCCTTCCTGAAAAATGTAAAAGATGGATAAGATTTTCCTCTCTAAAATATGCAACAGTATGAATTGAATTGTACAGAATAGTTTGCTTGAATAGTTAGTGTAATTTGTGGTGTATATTTCATACTTTGTTCTATTTTGTAGATGAACTTATCCTACTAGTAAATGCAATCCATCGTTTGTCTAAAATATTGGAAAGGTTTCATCTCTAGTTGCAAATTTATGTTACATCACTATTTATAGGGTCCTGAACACAATGTAAACCCCTATTATAACCCATGAATGAAATGTCATCGATGTTATGTTTTGAAACACACAAATATTGAAAAAACAAATAAAAACAAGGAACTAAATAAAAATGTGTGATGTACATTTTATGTTACATGTAAACGCAAAACATTTGACAAATCCTTTACAAGAACAGAACAAAGTAGAGCAAAGATACTTTTTATTTATAGGTACAGGTATTATAAGTTGGTCATTATTAATTAATATGGACAGGAAATAGCACCTCTATAGAATTATAAGGAAGATGATACCACAATACTATTGTTAAATTGAAATGAATATCATGACTAATATCACTCGACCTTCTGCATAGATCATATCTTTATTATAGAAGAATAGATAGTGAAACAAGACACACAGTCATAAATATCACACTTTGAAGAGCAAAATAGTAATCATTCATTTACCCAGCATGCACAAAACTTATCAGATCTTGGCACTAGTGGCCCAAATGCCCTAATACGTCACTTCCGCTGAATAGAAAAAAGTAGTTTTCAAAAATGAATGTAGTCCCAACACAATTGTGATCATGACGAGTCAGTAAGCTAGTATGTAGGCACAGTTGTCATCTTTTTGCAATGTCAACATGCCATTTCTTCTGAAAATGCGTTTACTTGGGTTATCTGAAGGAAAATTTCGAATCAAGTGGCGTATTAATTTTTTCAAAAAGTAGATGTTTGGCCCCTATTGAGTTTAGTGTCAAAATGTAGGTTAGACGTAGCTTTAGAACCTCAGATAGGCCAGTGAGGCAACATAAATCCATAACTCGAGATAAAAAGTCAGGTGTTTGCCCATTGACTAGTATGGTGACGTGAATTAGGGCAGTTTGGCCAGTCTGCCCTTTCATCTTTTCAAATTCAATTTTTTTCTGAAATTTTGATGATAAGAGTTGTTTATAGTCTCGAACTTAAGCTGACATAAATTCAAATAAAAAAATCAATTTAAAGATGCTGCTGTAAGTGTATCACCAAAACCAGAACAACGGCAACGCCAAAGCGTAGCGAATCCCATCGAACAGCCATGGCTGGCATTTTTACAAGCAAAGTATATAGAAAAAAATGGCAGCCATTTTTCAAAATGGCCACATTCTACCAAAAGTATCATTAGACAGTGTGCCATGCTGAAAGTATTCACATACTAAATATGAACAAAATCACTCCCCTACTTTTTGAGTTATAGTAAAATACGTTAAAATGGCGGCCATTTTTCAAAATGGCCACCTTCTACCAAAAGTGTCATTAGACAGTGTGCAATGCTTATAATATTCAGATACCAAATATGAACAAAATCGGCTTTCGAGCAGAACTTCTACCCCCATAGGATATATGTGTACAAAATATGAACAAAATTGGGCCATCGGTATTTGAGTTATTGCCCGGACGGACGGATGTACGTACGGACGGACGGACGTACGGAGGCGTTCCCTATATAATAAGTACTAAACTTGCAGTGGTGGATCCATAAATTAACAAGGAGGGGGCCCAAACTTTGGGCCCCTAAAACGAAAAAGTAGGCCCAAATTTTGAAAAATTAAGGCCCAGTTATTAATAGATTGGCCAAAAACGCCAAATTATATCCAAAAGGCCCATTTTTGAGGCCCTATAAAATTTTGGGACCCAAAAACCTAAATGCATCATAAACCACTCGAAAACCAGACCCATATTTTGTAAATTTAACTACAAAACGGCAACTACACGGAGTAGCACATCCTAACGAACACTATAACATAGAAGTCTGTATTTCTCACAAAAATATAAACATTGGAAACATTAGAGATATATCAAAATTTCTACCAATTTTAAAAGCATTTGGGTGACCATTTAAGAGTTTTAAAGGCACAAATAATAAAGACAATTTGAATTTTCTGAGGCACAAATCAGGAAACAATACCAATATTGTATTAATTGGGGAAAATCGTAAAATATGTATTTTTTTGGATAAAATAATTATTTCTATTTTTATTGCCTCTTCTTGCTTTTTTGGGGCTTTGCCAAAAGGGACTCCATGAGAATCTGTGGTCCTCCGTAGGATTTAGCCCAATCGAGTCCTATGGAAGTCCAATGATGCACCAGCCCAATCGAAAATAATGAACATGTTCATTCTTTCCATAGGGCAAACCCTCAAATTACATAATTTCCTTGGGACTTGATTGAGGATGGTAAGATCCATTAGGGAATTGTTTCCCTATATTAGAATCAGATTTGGCATGGTAGTGTAGTGTGCTTCTATTTTTTCAACCAAATTCTAGTTGGGTGCCTCAGTGGGCACTTCCTAGATTTCTACAACGAGAATGTTAATTCAAATAGTAAAACTATCACGATTTGTGATATGTTTGCAACTTATTTTACGACAGGGGTGCCACAAATAAAGTGGAGTTTGCGTCACTGCTTAAGGTACCACGCGGTACTTACTTCGACGTTAATTTGAATTTTTGACCTTCCAGGTGCTTGAAAATCAAGGATTGCGAGTCTCATACTGCAACGCTTTTCTTCAAACTTATACCATTAAAAGCAAAACAAAATTGCCTTGATATTGTTTGCCTTGTTTATGTAAACATATTCCTTAAAATTTTTCTTTTTTGTGATCCACAAGTCAAAATATTGATGAATTGCACCAGAAAAGCATAATGGAAGGTTATTACTTCTACTAACAAACATATTCACAGCAGGGCCTTCATTTCAAGCCCAAGATACCCAAAACCCTAAACAGGTCACATGACTTTATTTGACCAATCAAAGTATAGTATAACATGATTATGTTAAGTTGGATAACAAGGTATATGGTCAGATATTAATATGGAGCCTAACCTGAGTGACTGAAGATTACAATATATTCTGTTAACAATTCTGAAAAATCAAAATTGAGTCTCTGATTTTCATGTTTCTGTATAATTTGGTTCATGAAGCTCACATTAGTATGCTTCATTGGACAAAGCTTTTCCATTATATTTTATGTTTTTAACAAAACTGTATTGATCTTTCACTCATGGGTTGACCAATATGTTATATAATAGCAAGCAGCCTCTATGTAAATCCCATTTCCCTTGAGCTGGCTTTAATTACAGCCAACTGTTCATTCACAATCCCTTCAATCAAACTTCATGATGGTCATGTTTTAAAATATAGAATATTTTGAAAAGGAGTGAACTGTACATGGAATACAGTAAATACCCATGTAGCTCATATTTTAAATGAAACAGAAACCCCAAATAATCCAAAATTTCTTTCAAATTTTCAGAGACGAAGAGAGAAATAAGTATGAGCAGAGACCCTTTACTTACGGGTTACTCAGCCCTATAGGTATTAAATGTGCTATTCAGGAAAAATGTACTCAATTCTACATGGCTAGAATGGTCAAAAGATTCTGTAACAAGAAACTTGTTTCATGATCAAAAGTTGAATTATTGAAATATTTGTATAATATTAATCTTGACAAGTTGTTTTTTGTACTAAAAATCTTTACCACCAATCCTATACTCCACAACGCAACTTTACCAGGCTGAGGTTTCAATTGCAAAGGACAACATTTATGCAATTTCCTTAGTTGGATTTGGAAAATGCTCCTTCTTTTACAGAATAATACACATCAGAGGCTAGAATTTCAATACAAACCTTAGGGTTTTAGGGTACTCCTACCAGTCATTCGCCCCTATTAAGGGTGCAAGGGGGGGAGGTTCAGATTAAAGAGAGAATCAGATAAAGCGAGCAGGCTAAACAAAGAATTGTTTCAATTTTAGAATATTTTTGGCTCATGTCATTCCTTGTCATGTCTATTTTCTAAAAATCACAAAAGTGCATACTTTATTCCAGGAAAACTAAAGATTTTTACAATAATGTATTATTTTTCCATTAGAATGGTTACCATTCTTATTATTTGGGAGAATTTAAACATTTTTCACTCATTTTTTCACTTTGAATCATTAATAACTTCACCAATTTATAACATGTTGTGAATCTTTTGGGAGATATTGTATTTGATATTGTAAGGAATAGATTGGTAGGTCAATTATACATGTTGCTTGTAATTTTGTCACCCCCTATAGATCAGATTCTGCCTTAATATGTGGACTTGATATGAGGCAGTCTTGAAATGTATGATGGGTCAGAAAGACAGAAATAATATTCTATGTCAGGTTCAAGTATCTTATTATATCAGTGGAGAGTTTAAGCTTGCAACGTAACTGTGAACTGAAAGTACATGAATCAATATAGTAATGTATAAGCGTGCATACAAAACTGATGCTGATTAGTCTACTTCAGATTCCCATTCAGCTTCATGTTTGGAACATGAAATTCCAAATTTCAGGTTGGTATCAACAGGAATCTCTATACTCTTGTCTATTGCCATACTATGCTGGTAATTGGATTTTGATACGAAGTAGAATTCTTTCTGAAGATGATGTATGTCATGAATATTAATGTTTTAGCTCCGACTATCTTACCAAACGAGTTTGATTAAAATATGTATCAGAAAACTAGCTATAGAACTACCAATTGCGTATTACATGCTCAGCATATTACATACTGCGGTGTAGTCTAAACAAAAACTGAAGCCCTAACTGCTATTTAAGTGAAAAGCTATGTATATGGGCGATTTATACATAAACGTTGCCGTTACCATTTTATATACAAGCTTAAACTCTCCATTATATCACTATCAACCTTGTTATTTTATAATTAGTGAAGCCCAAGTTATATCATGGCATGATATATACAATATTTACTGAGAAGAATAGCCTAACTAACAGTTACCAGTTTTACCACCAGGTGATCAGCTCTGATAATACAGTACAGTCTTTCCTATAAGATTTTTTTCTCAACTGGGTGCAAAATATCAAGTTGGTCAAAATACATGTATGCCAATTGCAGAGCAGATGCAAGCTTATTTTTGTTATCTAAAGTGGGTTCATCATCGCTTCATTTCTGACTAATTGTACTTGTTCAGATGATATAACAGAAATACATGTAGCTACCTAGCCTTTCCTGTTGGGTCTTTATATGTCAACTTTTGTAAGGACAACCAGTTTCCACTTGCAACAGTCTGGAAATAAATCAGAAAACATTTGAAATAATCTGCATAAATTTGAGTGTTTTCTTACTGCTCTGTTGCCTGGCCTTACTGTAGATGCACTGAGCCTAGGTCGTTTTTCTAGGTCTTTGTAAAACTGACTAGATATCGGCTTAGGATTCAGTTCTGCATTTCAGCTGGTAGCTTGTCTTGTTACATTTCACTCCAGGATGAGGATGTCTGCTTTTTTTACAAAAATAACAAGAACACAAATGTGTACAAAATGTCCCCACCTATGGGTGATCCCGTCAAATGGTTATCCTAAAAATGAGTAGACAAGACTTTACCGACACAATTTGAGGACGGAATATCAAAAATGGCCACCTTAAAATTTACCCAGAATGCCAAAAGTTAGTCAGTTCTAGATTTTCATACTAAGAACCACCCCTAAAAATTTGAAATTCTACCAAATGGTTCACCTAAAAACGCGTAGACAAGACTTTACAGACAAGATTTTAGGACAGAAAATCCAAAATTGCTGCCTTGACATTTACCCAGAATGCCAAAAAACTTATCAGATCTAGATTTTCATACTAAGAATCATCCCTGAAAATTTGAAATTGATCTACCACACGGTTCACCTAAAAATGCGTAGACAAGACTTTACGGGCAAGATTTTAAGATGGAAAATCCAAAATGGCTGTCTTGACATTTATCCAGAATGTCAAAAAACTAATCAGATCTAGATTTTCATACTAAAAATCATCCCTGAAAATTTGAAATTGATCTACCAAACAGTTCACCTGGAAATGCGTAGACAAGACTTTACAGACAAGATTTCAGGATGGAAAATCCAAAATGGCTGCCTTGACATTTACCCAGAATGCCCAAAAACTAATCAGATCTAGATTTTTATACTAAGAATCATCCCTGAAAATTTGAAATTGATCTACCAAACGGTTCACCTTAAAATGCGAAGACAAGACTTTACAGACAAGATTTTAGGACGGAAAATCCAAAATGGCCGACAATAAAAAAGTGATTATGAGTTTTTGCTGATTTCTTTTTACAAAATTATCACGTATAACTACTGTTAACAATAACATAGGATTTTACAACAAAGTACACCTGAAATTATTTATAAAGCTACAAAATAGTTAAAGTATGAAAACTGAAAAACACCATTCAATATGATACAAAGTATTATCACGCGCTAACTTTTCTTAAAACATTCAAAATGGCTGACATGACTGAGCTAACAGGTCCAAAACCTATTCAGATCTAGAATGAAGTGAGCTGAACAAGATGTTAAAGTTTCAAAAGCAACTGTGAAGCCATTTTACTTAAAATTTGCAGACAAGGATTTTAGCATTTGACTTCAAAATGGCCAACAGGAAGTAGGTATCGAGTTAAATTGTCGCCAGAAAGTGCAATATGCTTCTCAGTAGGCACATTTGAAATTTCAACAAAATAAACATACATGAACATGTAAATGGCGGCCATTTTGCCAAAATAAGATAGTAATGTATAATGTGCAGCAAAGCTGTGGCCTTTTGAAATTTAGGGAGTTTCAGCCATGTTAATTTTTTCGAAAATAACATGGCAGAGAAGTGTCAAAATATAAGAGGACACAGATATGATAGCTAAACTTCAAAACAAACTAAAATATACAAAAGTTAGTAAAAATATAAATGTTTCTATTTTTACATAAACTGTTTCAATATGGTCATTTGATTGCTTATTTTTTAAATTCAAAGTAGTCACAAACATTTCTGTTTTGACTTTAGGTGCAATAAAAGCAGAGCACCATAAGGATACCAACAACAGCAACTTTATTATTCTGATTTTTCTTAGATGTTCCATTAATAACTTGATATACCCTATCATTTATTTAGATTTGATTCCCTATCTGATCTAAAATGAGGCATATCATTTATAAACGGTGTCCAATGGCCAACCAGAATCGGCCTTTTCAGACCAGCTGACCTCTGAACATGGACAAACAAGCTACTTATATCAAAGTGTTATTCGATATTATGTAACATTCCAACAGCATAAATTATCAGGGCTTGAATCATGGTGGCCAACACGTCGTCAGTTTTCGAGCGGGAAACGCCCTTTGTGGACCAAGTCGTTGCACAGATATTAAAAATACATACCTCTTCTTTGACAAATTCAGATGGAGTTGTTATTTTAAAGCTTGGTCGAGGGGGACTGGAGCATATTTCGAAATCTTTTTCGTTTTCGCCCGCCATGACTTCAATGTTCTCGACTTTGTCCCGTATACCTCTCTTCGAATACTGGCGTATATGTCCTCGTATATTGCACTTCTTTGATTCCAAAATGCCATTCACTAATTCATAGCATTTGCGGATTACCTGTTTTCGCATGAGATATTCAAGTTTTATATAATTTAGCGGTCATTCTCGGCATCAAACAACACGTTTGGTCTTCTTGAAATGAGGAAACACAGTCCAGAATGTCAAGACAAAATCATAAGTGGCACTATACAGACAACAAAATGTATATTTTTGCAAATTACATTAAATAGCTGATCGTTTTCCACATTTTATATAATATTTTTCAATATTTCGTAATATAAGTTTAAAATTTGTTGCTACAATTATTGGAATGTGTTTCCCGCAATAAAGAGCTCCTCGCTCTGGGGACTGATCATTTGGATAATCATAACGGAAAGGGCCAAGGGAATATGCGGGGGAATATGGGGCAAAACGGCGGTAGTTTAGAAAATATATCACCAAGAAAATGCATTTTTGATTTTGGGGCTCCCAGAGGGTAAATTAAAATTATGAATTTCACTTTTAGATTCTATGAAACAAATTGCCTACATCATTATGTATGTTGTATTATTATATACCTCAAATGTATTCTAGATGCTCATTGGCTTATTCATGGTCACATGAAATGGAATAGATGAACTAACTCCCTGGAAGTCCTAAATCCCTGCTTTCAGGGACGATGAATTGTACTAATCACCAGTTAGGTCATGTGACCAGTCAATAGTACATTTTATCTTCCCCCAAATCTGAGATTATAGGAGTTGAGAGGTAAAATGCCTTTAAATGCCAATAAGAACCTGTGAACATTTGATATTGAAATTAAAAGACTTCTCATTTTGTTTTTGTTTACAGAGTACTTATCAGGTATATAATAAAACAAATAGTGACTGCCACATTTTCGGGAAATAGGCCTAGTGTAAAAATTTTCCTCTCGGGAATATCCTGTCCACTGACTTGTTCCCTCGGCCTGCAGCCTCGGGAACATGTCAGTGGACAGGATATTTTCCTTGAGGAAAATATTTTGCACTATTTCCCTCAATGGCAGTCACTATTTGTACAATATTATACATTAATCAATGGGTTTTCGGAAAAGACCGACCCCACCGACCACCGACCGGTCGGTGTTTTCCACTGGTAGCCTCAAAACAGGGTTTGAAGAAAATGTGTAAAAGACCTACCATATCATGTAAAAGACCGAACATATTTGTAGCCCAAGGAGGATTGGCTCCCAGAATCGAAGTCGATATTTTCCAACAATGAAAACGCCGAAATGTCGTTATTTTCTGAAATTATAACCGATTATAAATTCAAAATAAACAGTTCAAAATATTCGAAACAATATCTCGATCATTTCTTGTGAGTTTTGGAATTTTTCGTTAGGAAATAAGACCAAAATTCACAATTCAAATGTTGAAGTGAACAAAATGGCGGTCGTTGGAATTCAAATTTTGTAGCACGACATGCCCATATATGGGACAGAATATCGATGTTGCACTCTGGGAGCCAATCCTCCTTGTTTGTAGCCTTAGAATATTAATAATTTGATTTTGAATGTCAATCGTTGGACTAGGCAACGTTTTTTACCGATTTTGTACCTTGCAACGAATGGCAAGCAAACAAATTGGTCATGACCGTCTCCTCTCGATTAATTGCCCTGCCTTAGGTCCTAACCTATCATTAACCAACCTATCGTTTCTACGGGAATCTATCCTAATTTTTACTGAAATTTAACAATTTCGAAACAAAAATGATTTGTTATCGTCATAGCCTACTGAATACTGAACACGATATAATGTTACATGCGTTCTCTTATCGGGATTAAAAGTGACTTACCATTTCAGTACACCATTAGAAAGCTTTTTTTGTCATATCAAATGTAGTTTTTACCAGTTGACGTTTAACAACTGAGAAATCAAACATAACGTAACGACGTCAACATCGACGATGTGTGTGTGTTTTTGTTATTGCGTTTCATATGAATGAAGAATGAACTAAATGCAATGTTACGTGCGTTTTTTTCCAAAGTGACTAACTCTTCTAACAACTGAAACATCACTTAAAAATATGACATTACACACCACGACGACGTAACGTTTTCATCGTGATCGTTTTTAAATCACGATCTAGTAAAGGTACTATAGTCATTGGATTCCCAGTTTTAGTTTTAGTTCTAATTTTGCATTTTTTCATCTATATGTAAAAGACCGTCAGCCGACCACCGACCACATGTACCCAACTGTGGAGAGTGACTGGTATTCAAATATAAATCAACTATTTTAACTGAGCCATGCAAGTATTGGATGATTGGAGGCAGTTTTGATCAAATTTGCAAAGGGTTCATTTTATTCTCACCTGTCTCAACAAAACAGGAATATCCCAGAATTCATACAGTCATACTTCTCTTATGTAAACTATATCATTGATTGGCCAAGGGTTCATCTATAATCCTGGGAAATGACCTCTTCTGGACTAAAAGCGTGGGAACATCTGATATGACCAGTTCCCATGACAGTGTGTCACCTGTCATTTCTCTGGAATGATGTACACTTTCCTCCAAAAGATTGAAAACAATTGTAGTACAGTTAAACCTGTATATCTGAACATTTGGCTAATCCGAACACCTCCCAATTTGAACATTTTTTGGTCCCGTTTTTCCTCCCATTGACTCAAATGTTAAAAAAACTTGAAATATGAACACCTCCCAATTTGGACAGTGAACAGTCATGTTTGAAAAATTAACCTATCTAATCTGAACACATAAAATATCACATGTTCCATACATTCCATACATGGCTGGGAATTGGTGTTCGCTTAAACACAGGTGTTCAATAGAGTATACTCATATGTTCGCTGGGCACAGTATTTCACTAAAGAGATGTTCATTATGACAGTTTTACTGTACTGGGAATTGGTGTTCACTGTACACAGGTGTTCAATAGAGTAGACGCATGTGTTCACTGGGCACAGATCTTCACTAAAGAGGTGTTCATTAGGATATTTTTACTGTACTGAAATCACTGGCGGGGACGGAATCGGTGTTTCACTATACACAGGTGTTCAATAGAGTAGAGGCATGTCACTGGGCACAGATCTTCACTAAAGAGGTGTTCACTATGACAGTTTTACTGTACTGAAATCAATCACTGGGAATTCACTATATACAAAATTGAAATGTGTGTATCATGCCACCCCTGCAAAATAATTGACTCGCCCACTTGGTCTCTTGGATCCACTTGCAAAATATATATAACCTAGATTAACTCACGTTAAATGGTGGCCATTTTGAAAATGGCCGCCTTCATAGCCAAAATGTCATAATAGAACAATGTGCCATGCTAACAAGTAGTCACATATCAAATATGAACAAAATCGCTCCACTACTTTTCAAGTACAGCAAAAATTGTAAAATAGCGTGTAAAAGCATGTTGGCCATTTTCAAAATGGCCGCCTTCTTGCCAAAATATCATAAGGCAAAACTGCCCTAATTCACGTCACCATACTAGTCAATGGGCAAAAGGGCAAACGCCTGACTTTTTATCTCGAGTTATGGATTTATGTGGCCTCACTGGCCTATCTGAGGTTCTAAAGCTATGTCTAAGCTACATCTTGACAAAAAACTCAATAGGGGCCAAACATCTACTTTTTGAAATAATTGGTCAATTGTGACACTACCCCCTCTCTCTGCCGACACAAATTGAAATTCACAAAAATGAAGGCAAAATTAATGCGCCACTTGACTCGAAATTTTCCTTCAGATAACCCAAATAAACGCATTTTCAGAAGAAATGGCATGTTGTCATTGCAAAAAGATGACAACTGTGCCTACATACTAGCTTACTGACTCGTCATGATCACAATTGTGTTGGGACTACATTTACTTTTTTCTATTCAGCGGAAGTGACGTATTAGGGCATTTTGGCCAAAACAGTGTGCCATGCTAATAAGTAGTCACATATTAAATATGAACAAAATCGCTCCACTACTTTTCAAGTTATAGCAAAAATTGTAAAATAGCGTGTAAAAGCATGGTACATGGTGGCCATTTTCAAAATGGCCGCCTTCTAGCCAAAATGTCATTAAACAGTGTGCCATGCCAATAATTAGTCTCATATCAAATATGAACAAAATCGCTCCACTACTTTTCAAGTTATAGCAAAAATTGTAAAATCGTGTGTAAAAGCCGCCATTTTTCAAGATGGCTGCCATGTGTTTCTTAAATATCTACATGTCTAGCTTAATTAATGTGCTATATAACTTTTTTACTTTTAAAACTCATTGCTTTTACAGTTTTATATACTGTACCTAAATGACTGTAAAATCGTCACTAAAATGGCCGCCATTTTGAAACGAGCGGCCATTTTGAAAATCGGCTATCGAGCAGAACTTCTACTCCCATAGGGTATATGTGTCTACATGCATGAACTACGAAAAAAGCACTTGGTGAAAAATGTGTATACCCTCTGGAAGCCCCATCATGCATTTTCTTGGTATTGTATTTTCTAAACTACCCAAAACGGCCCTTAAAATGTTTAAATTAAATCACCATACTATGCCTGGGCGCATTTGACGCGTGTTATTTCTCACATGAATCGTTTGGCACTAGAATCAATTCAGGCAAAGTCAACATAGTTCTAAAACTTAGGCTAAAGGGTAGCTCTATCTCCATCTTTTAACCCTCCTAGCGAATACAATTGTACCGCGTCGCCGTCGATCGATCATCATCATCGTCACCACATGTAGATCCATTAGACCCATTAGGGTAGCAACTAATATTGAAACGCCCGGGTTGAAACGACTCTATGGAATAAAGATGTCACTAGACTGTACATAGAAGCTGAACTGTCCGCTAAGCTCACAAGTAGAGTATTTATAGGGAGTATTAGTATGGATTCCAGGTAGTAAGAAATGAGCTTTTAAACAGGACATCACAGTGCGACATTGACTACTTTTTTGGCTCTTCAAGTCCATTAATACTTTTAAGTTTAAGTTTAAAATATTTTATTTCTGTGTCACATGTTTAAAAACTACATTTCAATAAATAATTTTTTTAAAAACCACCAGCCGGCACCGGCTTAGGAGACACGAGTAATAGAGAGATTTCGCACATAAGTGAAAGTACAACTTATACGTATACGTATAGTTTAAAGGGTCATGTCGAACTATTATATTTACTAAAATCAATTTTAAATTGTACTTAATGGAACATAACTATTCCCGTTATTGAAAAGCTTCATCAACTAGAGACTGTGAATGCACTGTCATCTGCACGTGTAGATTATGCACATTATGATTAAATGCTCATGTCCTTGTAGTTGAAGTGTATTATAAACACGATCCTTTAAAGTGAGTCATGATTCTTTAAAGTGAGTCATTAATTACATAAACAAGTTGATTATTTCAATGTTTTCATGATCAGTATAAGTTCAATGAACTTACAAAACGGTATATTTACATAGATGTATAAGTATACGTTATAAGTTGTACTTTCACTAGGTGCGAAATCTCTCTATTGACTAGAGTAAGTTGACTTAGAGCACTCTTAAATAGAGTAGTAATCAAGTGCTGCCATCTTTAGATGCTTTGACAAATATTTTTCTATTAATGGCCATTGTCACAATAAATGAATATGCATGCAAACATAAATAAACTGTATTAATACAATAAATTTTGCAGTCAAGTGCTGGAAAATGACTATAACAGATTGGGGACACACACTTGCTGTTCCGTTATATCATTAATTCTAAAACGTATCACTTTTAACCAAGTCTGGACTTCACAAATGTAACTCCTATAATCTGCCATAGTCAAATTGCCTTTTTGCCCCCGTTGAAAAAAGTACTTAATCATTATACAAGTATTACAATGCCACACATAACTTGGAAATGATTTATGAATACTTCTTGGAGCACTATTACTGACTATTATTTCCTGAAGCTGCAAAACTAAAAAACAAAACAAAATATGCTTTTCATTTCGATAAATTATATTTTCTTCCAAACCAATCAACATATCTCTCTAGAGATTTCAGGATACACTGATCCACCCTACTGGTGACATATTATGTAGAAATCAGTACTATGGCAAATATCTAATTGATTTTATAGAATGATAATCTAATACCCCCTCAAACATTATTCTATGGGGGGGGGGGGGTAAAAAGGCTCAGAATCCTTCGTCCACAAACTAATACGACCCAGACATATGTGAATTGATGCTGAATAAAGTTATCTTTCAGAAAAATGATGTCTAACAAGTGGCCCTCTGACTACCCAAAATGCTTAGTGTAGACTGGCCTATTATATGCACTTTTCAACAACTTGCTCGGTTCTGAAAGCCACCCGAGGGTGTTTCTAATTTCAAGTTCACGCTAAAGATGAATATGATCAATGCCAGTGCGATAAATGTCAAGATGGCAGTGAACTTTTCAAGAATAAGGACATTATTGAATATGTCCCTATAACCACAAGTGTTACACACACAATAAAAGAACCAAGGCCCTTGGCGATAAGGACCAGAGGTCTGGTTCGTGTCTATGTAGATAGAAAGTATTAAAAATCCAGTAAATGTTACGTTTATCACACTTATCTGATGGTGGTACAGGGGCTGATCCAGGAACCAACAAGGGGGACATATTTGAATTATGAAAGAAATTCAGCCTTAATGGGCCTATTATGCCCAAAAAGGCCCATTATTCGAATTTTTTTCTGGGCCCCTGCCAGTGCCAGTGTGGAACACCAAAAATTGAAAGTCGATCACAGAGCGACCCTTGGTCAAACATTAATTTATCATAATTTTATCAAGAATTTGAATACAAAAACTTCTTACTCCAGAGCATATTGTAGTGATATTGCAGTATTACATAGATTATTATTTGAAACACTGTTACATTAACAGGGGCGTAGCCAGCTTTCAGTCAGGGAGAGGGGGTGCGATCGCCAAATACGTTTGGGTTTTCAGCCCGGGGTTTTCAGTCACTGTGATATAAACAAGCCAAAAATAAAGACTTATTTTTAACTTTACAAAAATTGATACAACTTCCTTCAAAATTGAGCTAGAAGCTTCAAATAAAAAGCATTTTAAAGCGCTTTTCTTCTTCTATCTCAAGGTTCTATTTTTATTGGTGATGGGGGGGGGGGGGTTGCACTCCCCTGGCTACGCCTTGCATTAATGTACACCGGTTTAAAAGTACTGTACCACTTTCCAATATATTTAATTTCGCTTGGGTCCATCGGTCGGTTCCCAAGCTCAATCACTTCGTTAAGGACAGGTCCGAAGCTTGATGAAGCAAGATGCTTGGTACCCTGCGTGCAGAGTCTAGTTAAACTAAGACGAAGCTCTCTTTTAAGAACTGTGACCTAACTCGGCTGATTAGGATATAAAGCAGTTATTCACCAGGAGAGATTTGATATGGGGAATATCCGAGGGAACGCAGTGACCGAGGGAAATATCGATATCATCCGAGGGATATTACCCATATCACCCTGACAGGTGAATAACGACCTTATACCATGATCAGGTACCCTTTGCATTCGTTTGACTTCACTTCTTAAAAGAGAGCTTCGTCTGTAGTTTAACTAGACTCTGCACGCAGGGTAATGATCAGGAGGAAATCTACCCAAAATCAGCTGTTGAATGAGAGAAAAAAGGATTGAATCTTGGAAATATTTACGTTAAATATTATCCCACTTCAAAGTTCATTGACAATTTAAGGGCAAGAAAAACATTATACTTAAGAAGATTATTAAATCAAAAAATGAAAAAGGTGAGTAAATTTCCTATCCTATCCTATCCTACGGCTTCGGGAATAGTACATTATAGAGGATATTCCCTCGGGGAAATAATTTACACTATTGCCCTCAATTGCAGTCACTATTTGTATAATGTTACACCGGGTCTACATTATACACATCATTCTAGTGAGTACCTGAGCGTTGGCATACAGTTCTAGTGTTATCAAATTGATGGTCGAAATATTCCGCCTTCATCCTGGGCGCATGAGATAAAGGTCTTAATTATCATTACGTATTCGGAAAAAATGAATTGTTGCATCTTAGTCACTAAGCACACTTTTTGATCAGCTTGCACAAGGGATTGCAATTAAAACACTATAACAGATTGTGAATCGTGATCTATGCATTTGAGTAAAGTGATCTCCGAGTAGGAACCAAGAGCGCTGACATAAGACCCACGTTCACTGGACCATCTAATTGTCAATTAACGCTTCAACTTGTGCGGATTATGAATGATGGATGGGTCTAAGTCAAACAATGGAAAGGTAAAAATCAATGTATAGTTTCCTAATCCAATCATTGGTATTCATCCTGAGAATGTTTAATCAATTTTTAGTTACTGTCAAAGAGAAAGAATTTAACGCAGGGATTATATTCCCGAGATTCGTTTCTAATTGGTTGTAATCATAGTTGGAAGTATTATATATTCATTAATTGAAGAGAACGAGAGCTTGCCTTCAATAAAGACACCACGGAGCTAGATTAACGAAATCGCCACGCAAGGATTGTCAATATTAGACAGACATTTTGTTTAATCCAATTAAACAGGCAGCTAATTTACTGAATAGACAAGCGCGAAAAGCGTCGGAAGTGTGTGAACAGGGTGTGATGATATCTTAAAATAAAAACATCTTGACGTCAGTCATTGAAAGCAGGCGAGCCAAGTGAGAAGGAAAATCTCTTTTAATTTGGACATCGTTAGTTGAAAGAAATCTGGGAATAGGCATTACACCAGACAGTCACAATGATGACTAACTTGTAGCATAACAACATTTTTGAACATTTGGAAAAGGAAAGTATATTTCCTAATAAGTGCGAATAAGGAGATATTCAAAACTATTTGCCAGTTGGACATTGTGCAATGATTATGTCAAGCCTCTATGTATTTGGACTCTCGATTTTTACCCTGTTGTGGATGCAGTGTCCTAATGTACAATGCCGGGAAATGTGGGTCGGGAAACGACCATCACCTATCGTTTGGATATCTAAACGTTCCCCGGAAATGTGGGTAGGAAAACGACAACCGGCCGATATGTGGGTAGGCAAAAGAGAGGACCAGTTACTTCTCGGCGAAAAAAGAGCTCCAGAAATGTGGGTCGGAAAACGAGCTCCCGATATGTGGGTAGGAAAACGTTCTGATGATGATATTTGGTCAGGAGTATTACGCACCAAAAGAGACGTAAGCTCAAATGACAAGTTTATAAAAAGTAAAGAATCTCATAAAAGAGCACCAGAAATGTGGGTCGGTAAAAGAGCGCCAGAAATGTGGGTCGGAAAAAGAGCGCCAGAAATGTGGGTCGGCAAAAGAGCTCCTGAAATGTGGGTCGGCAAAAGAGCGCCAGAAATGTGGGTCGGCAAAAGAGCGCCAGAAATGTGGGTCGGCAAAAGGGCGCCTGAAATGTGGGTCGGCAAAAGAGCGCCTGAAATGTGGGTCGGCAAAAGAAAGACCGAAAACATTCGAACAGAATTAAAGGAACTATCGTCTGAGAGTGGACTGAAAAGAGCGGCTGATTTTTGGGTTGGAAAGCGAACAAAAAATTCTGGACTATTTGAGAAAAATAATAAACGTGCTCCTGCCGATTTTTGGGTGGGTAAGAAAAGCACAACCAGTTTAAAAGATGAACTTGTTGAAAAACGCCAAGACTTTTGGGTAGGTAAACGATCATTGTCAACACATGTGGACAATTCATTGGATAATGGTGCTCACTCAGAATCAGATGACATTCTTAACCAGTCCCGACTTAACGAAAACATTTAAAGACCCTTTGATCATCTCACGGCAACAGTTCTAACCTCAAATCAAATTTCGGAACGTTATGAAAACTTCAGCTGATACTAATAGAATTTTGCATATGTTGTTTACTCTACTTTAGATTACAGGCATGCTGTAATGTTTAACTCAAGTTGTAAACAACGACATGTACACTAAATAGCAATACAGAAACGGTCGTTTTAATAAATGTTACCTTAATATTGTGTTGATCGATAACCAACATGATCTCGCTTGAATGAAACAATACAATAGCCTCAGTCACATTTGCTCTACGGTGACCGTATGGCGGCTGTAGCTTCACAAATCGATATATAGAAAATCTACATCTTAATGCTTATCCCTATATTTTCTCTCGATTTGGAGAAGCTACGCTACGGTCAAATGTGACTCAGCACTAGTCCCTGGGGGGGGAGCAATCAAGAATTTTGCATTATCTATTTTTTCAATTTTATCATTCAAAACGCCGCAGACGTCTTGAATTACGGAATATTTCTCATTTTAACTCTTTACCACATTAACAGTTACACAAAGACTTCTTGTTATAAATTAATCGGACAGTCTAAGTACAATAAATCAGTTTTTGGGGTTTTAGTAAAAAAGAAATTCCGCGAAATTGTCATTCTCCCAAAAAGACGTTCCACCGTGTGTTTATTCATGTTCATACGTTTCAACAAATTCTTGACAATATCCCGTTGTAGTACTTTAGCATGACGACGAGCAACATTTTTGTAAGCTAACTATCATTAAAGAAATAGTGAGTTAAGGTCAGGTTGGCTTGATAGATATGTACAATAAACGCACATCTAGATGCTACAATTGTGTCAAGATTTTGGGCATTATATGTTGCCATGGTAACTAATTATGATTTACGACTCAAGGAGGATTGGCTCCCAGAGTGCACCACCGATATTCTGTCCCATATATGGGTATGTCGTAATACAAAATTCGAATTCAAACAGCCGCCATTTTGTTCACTTCAACATTTAAATCGTGAATTTTGGTCTTATTTCCAAACGAAAAATTCCAAAACTCACAAGAAACGATCGAGATATTGGTTCGAATCTGTTGAACTGTTTATTTTGAATTTATAGTCGGTTTTAATTTCAGAAAATAACGACATTTCGACGTTTTCATTGTTGGAAAATATCGAGTTTCGATCCTGGGAGCCAATCCTCCTTGTTTACGACTTGAAATACTTGTTACATTTGATAACCTGCTAATGCCTGGGTCACATTTGCTGCGATTCATCGGCCGTCGCCCGGCCGATTGAGTAATTTGTTCAAAATTGAATACATTTCTGAACAAAATACTCAATCGGCCGGGCGCCGTCGTGAAAATCGGAGCAAATGTGACCAAGACGCTTAAGTCATGATCGGATTGACTTAAAATCTATATAGTGATCACATTTAGAGTTGTTGAAGAGATCGTCACTTTTGGCAAAAAATTGATAGGGACTTAGGAATAATTTCACACTCTAATTGTGAAGACTAATAAATAATGCATGCAACCAATAGGTGACATGTCATGTAAATCCCTTAATAGATTTCATTAAGGAATCCAAAATCCTACATCAAAACAATTGAAGTAATAAAGTCATAGCGAGACAGACACATTTATGTTGTTATCCGTTTCTGGCTAGTTTTCTTATTTTGAAGTTTATACTAATAGGATATCCTATGATTTTGAGGAATATCATTTTTATATACGAGGTGCACGAGTGAACGAAGCGAACGAGTGCATATATCAATTTCACCGAGTAGATTAAAATGATATTCTGAAAAAATATAGGATGTTCTTATTATCCTACACTCTTACTAGTAGTGTACTAAATGTATAATATCATTGGAAAATAAATTTCATCTCAAATTTGGCGGGAAATTAACAAGCGGAGTATATCATTACAGTATCTTCCGCTTATTGGTTTCCCGGAGTATATCGTGGCTATATCCCCCGGTTATTCATTTTGCCAACAGAAATCAAATCAAATTTATTTTTCAATGTCATTACAGTGTAGGATAAATATTATTTCAAAAAGGTACATATTTATGATTTGCATGGTCACAGATTTTAATAGAATAGATAGGTGGTGGAAAGGATGACAATATACATTCACACACCTTTCTTTAAAAACTTACATGAATTGACTCTGTAGACGTATGCATGGCTTCTTCATAGGTTAATGTGCCATAAACGTCCATTCTTGACGAGCTTTGGCTCGATAAAGAAACAGTATCTAGATATATTAAAAATGAGCTTGAACAGGTACGGATCATACGAATATGTTTTTTTTCAAATGCCAACATATTTCTGTCAATATCTGTTACCATGGCAACAATTAAGTGTTTATTGTCAACATGTATACATGCAACGACTTTTAACATATTTTTGACAATTTCACTTACAATGGCATGAATATACATGTAATATGTATGTAACTATGGAAACAGATTATTTGTCTAAAATTTAACTGCAACTAGGTGGTGTCATTTGGTCATGTTAATGCCTTGTTGTGACCATCATGATAAACCATGACATCTCTCATTTCTTCTCAGCCCTGAAACAGGTGAAACAGAAAGATGCTTTGAGTATCAGAATGTGTTGTGACGCATTTACATCTTTTAAATGACCAAAACTGACAAAGGTTTGATAATACACACCTTCAAATTAAAGAAACTATTCTTTTCATTCCACTTTAGAGAATAAATGGTTAAAAAAGTTCTTTGTAATGACAACTTTTTACTGAAGAATCATGGATACTTATATATATGCTATAGCAACCGACCAGTGATGATCTTTCACAGTTGGCTTTTTACAATATTGGTAGAAATATGTATACACGCAGAACAATTAAAATATTTGCTGGGCAACGATTTCTTTGTTCTATATCGATCAAACATCATTTCTTATTTGAGCAAAGATGTAAAGGAATATAAGAATAGGACTCCATCATGCTTCATAGCTATGTTGTATTATTATAGGCGGGACATCAACTGCATATTAGGCTATCACATCTTGTGTTCTAAAAATGTGGAAATGAAAAAAGAAAGACCCATCAAAATCAAATTCAAATTTCAACTCCCTCTTGTTTATGTGCGACAGTAGAAACTATAGAGACACTAAAATCCATCAGATCTAATAGGAAAAGCAAAGGAGTTATATGTTGCATATAATGAATTTGCACTTCTGAAGGAAGCTAAAGAAACTTTTAGCTTGGCTTACCATTTTCCGGGCGACTTGAATATAAAATTGCACTTTTAAGTCAATCGATTACTTAGTATTTATATAAATCGAATTTCCATCACATTCAAGGATTTTATGATTTCTCATTCTCATTTGCATACGCCGACAATATCAGAATACAGGTTGCCCAGTAATAATTCAAGTTCAGGATAAATAAAAAATCCCGACTTGGGCAAGGCTAGTTGCCCAGTATTGATTGATAATAACAATGTTGAAGGTGGCTTTTCTCAATTTTGTCCAAACGCTTCATTAGTGCACCAGAACACTTTTGACTATTCGAACCGATTGATCATCTCCAGATTTTAATTTGTATCATTATCTTACATTGCTGTTGTCATGCAATATGTTATTCCAAATAAATTATGGTTTTTATGTCACTTACAGAAGTGTATATATTGTTATAATCTCCAACTTTCTGTAGACTGTGTTCGGCGCTTGGGTGGTGTTCGTTCGGCGTTCAGTGTTGGCTTCTGTAACAAATGGCAGGTAGTGACATTTTGCATATTAATGCCTTGTTGTTTAAAGTAATCAGCCACAATGTATCAAGTCTTGGGTTTAATTCTTTTCACACATTGCAAATATTTTCTACAAAATCAACTAAAAACAGGAAATCACTAAAATAATATATTTTCAAATGAATCGTGAATTTCATAAAGTCATTACTTATTTTTCAAAATCAGAACTGTGCCAGTCTTGTTTTACATATTCAGGGGTGGTAAACGCGTGGTTCGAAAAGCAAGTAGGTGTAGTTTTATTTGATAGGCTGTGAGTAATCTTTCCTCATCCGCTAATGGCCGCCAATACGCTCATCACATCCCCAGTACAACGGGGAAATATTCTATTGTTATAAACTGACAGCGACCCATCTAGTTGTTCTAAAATGTGGGGTTGACCAAAGAAATATTGTGATTTTGAACAAAGACTGCGTGATTATCCCACATTATCAAACACTATAGCTTTGTGTGTCAATTTGTGACAATTAAATGTTTCCCCGATGGCTTTGGGGAATGTGATGTGCCCATGAAACGTTGCTCAAGTCTAAACAATGGAAATTGTTCCGGACGTGTTTCTTCAAACGATCGAGACGTGTTTTGTAAGAACATAAGAGCAAAAAGGGAAGAATATTCTATATTTTACAAACGAACATTACTTGACTTCTACCTAAGATGTTCTTCTTCATACCCACGTATCTATTTTGGCGACCATTCAATCATACTTCATAGTACTCGCAATTATATACCAAAAATGCCAGAAATATGTACTAAAGGAAGTAATGCGCTTGCCATGAAAAAATGAATTCATCTGATTTTTCAAAATGAGTATACTGCTTTTATTATTACATTTATATGCACAATAGTATATTGTTGACCTATATTCAGCACTGTATTGATGTATTGACCACTTATTAGGCTCATAATTCAATCATGAAGTGTAGAGGTGCAGATTCCAAACCAGGAAGTATTTTTGTGTCTATCAAAATCCATTTGCATCCTAGGCATCCCTCCATCTTATTCAAATATGATACTAAATAATGAAATATGATATTATAATCTTTGGTTTTGCAAGGGTTTATGATATTTGATAAGTGTAAAATATGTTTTTGGAGCATTTTTCTACAGCCATTTTGTAGGGAAAAAATGATGAAAAATGTACAATCTTTTAATTTAAAGTATGACCTGAATCGATTGCAAACTTCATATTTGCACATTTGATGAGATGAACCATTTGTGTCATATTGTGAAATCATTAAGTTTGCAATCGATTCAGGTCATAGTGTATTTTTGGTATTTCTGTGATAATCAATGGAAACCAATGGCCTCTATTGGGATCTGCTGATATCCTCATGTTAAGTCAATGGTGCACAGCCCCATGTAAGTCAATACAACCTTACTGAACGAAATGATCCCTATCTCAGCTTATGTGTGCCCGAACACTTTAATATTTTCCAATGATTTAAAATAACATGACACTCGTTAGATATTAAAAATAGCTTTGGCTAGAGGTCGCATCTCGTTTATTAATTAATAAGGCCAGGACCCATTGAATTACATCAGATAATTTTCCAGTAGTGTAAATTTACGCATCATTTATGAACAACGGTAATAAAGTATGCCTACAGATGCATGTCTGAGTTGATTTGGATTACTAGTACATAAAATCGTAAAGACTGAGACTTAATGATATTTTGAAAAAACTTTCGATTGATTGAATGCATTAATTTTCACCATTAAAACCTCTATGTGAGGAGCCTCGAAATGTGGCCTGAAAAGGTATGAACTAATGCATGGAACCTATCGAACGTTGAACATGTTTAACCTGCAATGACGTTTAAGAAGGTGTTCACTGTACAGATGACGTAGCCAGAATGATTTCGTCTCTCCTAAACACTACACACACACTACCCTACCACGTGACCACGTTTAAAAGGGAAACAGGGTACAGCTTAGTTGCAAATGGAGGACGTGGGTTTAATTCCATATTTCTGAACGTAAAATACATTTTACATATATTTCTAGTGTTCTACCAGACATAGAATTGATTCATCAAGGAGTGTGTAGAATATTGTTGGCAAAAAACCACTATAGGCAAAGATAGATAATAGTGGGCGCAGTGAAGCAAAACCAAATGCAATACACGATACATTTCAGTAAATCTATCAACGTACAGGGAGCATGTAAGTGTCCCTTCGAAAATGTTACATTGATATGTAACAAAAAAACCAGTTAACTGTTGTTTAAACTGCGTGTCATCGTGTTATACGTGGATACGTTTTCTAGTATGTTAGTCAACTGTATTTTTGTGAA